GGCACGCCTCTGATATATGAGGTTTCATACGCCTTGCTCTTTCCGTGGGAACGGCGCCTTCTTTTAGTTCGATCTCTTGCTCGACGAAATAACATCAACCGATAGCCGCTTTTCGTTTAGAATAAACGTCTGCTTTCAGCTTTAAAACTGCCCCTAGCAAATCAAACCCCCCTCCCCCATCTCACTTCTTAGATGCTCTATTTCCGGTAAAACCGGTTTGTTAGACTCTAATTCATATGATAAGGGGTATTTCGGAAATTTCGAGCAGCCCAATCAGCCGTCATTTGTATCAGATCTCATTGAGTATTTTTTGTTGAACGATTTCAATTCATTAATCCGTTTTAAAACCAAATCGTTATTCGCATGAGTTTGTCAGTCCTTTATTCGATACTTCTTCAGGATCGGCGTTTCTTCATAGTCCGCCCTCATTGGCGAAGCTCAGCCAAGTTCCCTTCCACGCTGGATTGAAACCGTTGTGTCAAGTGTATTCAACAACACACTGACACTCAGCCCGTTTCGTGTGACGGAAAAGCTCCAGCCTAAAACGATTGAACAATGACTATTTGGTTTCGATACTAAGTAAACCTGCTTTCTATCACTCAATGAGTTGAAATTTCTCATTCTAAAAATCGCTACTACTACTACCTGCGCTGTAATTTTATCCAAAAATTTGGTATCTTATTCCTATCAGTTTTTATTCTTTTTACTGGTCGCTTAACATACTTCCTGTCTATTTTCCTAATTTTTGTCAGTCCATTTTTGAGGTCAATCATCACGTCGAAGTGCCTGATGAAGTCACGCCCCAGGGTGATCTGATCCGAATCATCCAGGTTCTCGACCACGAGAAAACTTATCCATAGGTTCCGACCTACCATTTGAAGGACTGTTATTGAAATTCTCGCGGCGACATAGCTGGTTCTACGATTAGCGGCTGCCAATCTTAGGTTTGTGGGTATCAGGTCCTCCCTGGTGAAACCTATCCTTCCCATGATTTTATCGGCCTTACACTGACTAACTCTCCTGTTTCTAGGAGTCCTGTTACTCCCATATTCTTTCCATCGGTGTCTAGCGGATGTGCAGTCACATCTGCCTCATGACCGTTTCTACGGACCTTCAGCTCATCTTGACCCAAACAAAATTGTCTTATTTGGTCATCGTCTGTCGTGACGTAGTTCTTGGTATAAATACTTATCCCATCCACGTTCGGCTTTTCTTGATCTGGTCCATAGACTTCCAAGTAACGCCCTTTGATTGAGTGCCAATCATCCTTAGCAAGTTTCGCACAACCCTCAGCTCAGTGCATGGCTCTGCGTTTCTCAGATAATCTGCAGAAATGTAGAAATGCATCATGGTGAACTCCGAAGTTTAACCCAGATTCTGATTACTCGATGCTCTGCCACCGAGATGATTGACTGTATCCGGCTGCCTTGTGGCACCATATCGAATGTCTGTCCGGAGATCACATCCAACTTCATGCTCAATCTGCTCGGTGCCTTCGTTTCTTCCACTTCAGATGCTTCAAAGGTATTGAGTTGATCCTGAGTTTTCTCGTTCTCCGGTTTTAGTTTGACCTTTAAGTCAATTTTCCTTATCGCCACCTTCTGTTGAACTCTGTTCAGGGCATCTTTTACTGCCGCTTTGTGGTCAATCTTAAAGTTTTTAGCTGCGGTTTCGGGTTCTGTTCCACTCATTTCTTTTAGCATGGCTTGCATCTTCTTAGTAGACAGCTGCTGCTGTTTATCTTTCTTCCGTGCTTCCGCCTCGCTCATACTCTGCCTCTAGGTCCTTCATACTCTGCCTCTAGTTCCCCTAATAAGGTCCCTGACCCTAGACAATCCTGATTGCATGTCCGAATTTGCCATTGTCATGAACTCTCTCGATTTTGTCCTCCTTCAATAGTTTTGTTTCTGATTCTGACCGAAGCAGATCGTTCCGAGCAGCCATTATCCGTGTTTGCGGAATTTTTGAATTCATGTGTCGAACTGCGCAAGCTCACTTGAGACCCAGAGTCATCAATTTCTCTCCTACTTTTGTCCTCTTCATTGGTGTGGGGTTCATCGCCAGTTCCCGTTCCTATCGTAAACGGAAAGAAGTTTCCCAACTTATTCTTTACCCGTTCCGAAAACAAAGAAGACGTTGCCGCTTTCTCAGTCACCCCATGCATCATGGTATCGTTAGTAGGTGAGCCTCCCACTGACGGGTTATCAATCGAAATGTCGGACAGTTCCGACATTTCCTCTCGATCAAGAAACTAGGTTTAAATAGAGAAATTGTGACCTTATTCTACGAGAGTAGATTCAACCCTACATCCCCTTTTCCCTTTCCCTTCGGTTACACGTCCCGCTCGATTCTCATCCAGAGCGGAGTTCGAAAGGATCTCTAATTCCAACTTTGTCTTTTGTTCTTCTGAGGACTGTTGGTTCTTTTTTTTAACCATTCCGCCTGAAACTTTCTGTCCTTTCTTGTTCCAATCCTTCTTGGTATTTTCCACAAAAGGATCATTAAATGATTTCCTTTGTTTCTGCGGTATGAATTTCCTAGAGCTATCACTTAGCTTAGGTATCCTCGATTTGCCTAGACTTAATCTTAACCTATTGCTTTTCTCAGCTCACTCACTTGATTCGCTTACTACAGTATTTGTTTTCCGACAAAAGACTAAATCAAGAAACACAAAAATGTCCAAAAGATTAAACTAACAAGTGACCAATAATTAAGGTTATAACAGTACAGCGTATTTCTATTTCATGCACAGCAAGGATTTTTTTTCAATTGATAAAATGCCAGTACAGTCTGATGATGTCAATATCTTTAAAAGTTAGTGCACTAACTATCCAATCCAGAACAATAATGAACGAAAATAAATTAAAACTTTTTGAACCTGAAGAAGAAAGAATCAAAAATAATGTGTTGCAATTGGTCTGTCCCAATCAAATATTTGAACTAGTTTCTTACGACAGATCATTCGCAGTTTAGTGTAGCCTTAGACAGACAAAACTTGAGTGCAGTGTTTTTCTCAAATGGGCGACTATTGCATAGTTCTGTGTTACCTATCTGCCCTCGGATTGCCCAATCTAGACCTATTTAACTTCTCAAGGTAATCCTTCTTCCAAAGCAAAAACAGTTTTGGATTCTAATCCAAATGAATCAGTGTCGCATTTTGTTTTCGATTGGACCTAGAGTCGCAATTCTCCGGGCTTAGACCTTTTGTGGTTTTAATATGATCTTTTTAGTTTTTTATTCAAGAGCAAGTTATCAGTGGAGTCGCTGGTTTCCTGTCTATTTGTCCTAATATCTCAACACTATTCACAAAATGTCTTGTCTTCGTTTACATTTGTAAAAAAATTGTGAGACACCTCCGGATCGGTGTTCGGGGATTCTTCCGAATTGGCAAAAACAGGACCCCTCCGAATAGGCAAAATATGACCGTTCAGAGTTGTCAAAAGGGTAAACCGAGACCTTTCCGGATACAATATCCCTGACTAGTGTGCAGAACTAACTAAGAAGGGTTGGTTCTGGCTTCAGACCCCTCCCGATTGAAGCTAAGTTACTTTTTAAACAAAAAATTAAAAAATCTTAAAACTTAACAGGAAATTGTTATTAATGATTACGTAATTTATTAGGTAATTATAGTTGTTTGAATTTGAGTGGTCAAAAAATTTCAGAGCATTTCTAGACATGTTTCTCATTTTTTCAGGTCTTTGATCGTTTTGTAAATAATGTAAAAATAATTTCAATCCTGATGATGCACAAAATGTGCGGAAACGTTTGGATTAACATTTTAAAATTCTTAAACAATTTCCCTTTATTGTGAGGGGACTTCATCAAGCCAATTCCCTATTACTTGATTGTTTTTTTTCTATTTTTCCTAACCCTTCCTTATAGTTGAGAACAACGTCAAAACCGTCGTACCTCTTGGTAGGGGTATAAGGGTTTTCCAAAAAAGTTTTTTTTTACAAACGGTGAAAGGTCAACTACCGTCAAAAAACGGTGGTTTTGATATAAACAATATAAAAAATTGTTTTACGCCTAATTTAAAAAAAATATATTTAGCTTGCGTTTAAGTCTTTTTAATTTCTGTTTAACGGTACCAAATCGATTTGGATCTGTTTTGTTATTCCAGAGTTATAAAGCAAAACGTCTTATATGCCAATTCCAAAAATTTTCAAACTTATAGGTTTTTCTTTGATTTAATTGCTAATTTTATTAGAACTAAAATAGCTAAAAGCTGAAATGAACAGACTCAAACCCAAAAAAGTATTGTAAAAATTCTGTAAAAAGAGCATCCAGGGACTGACATGTAGCAGTTTGAGCAAGGACACGCCATTTGCCTAGTGCAAGCAACATTGATTTTGTAATAATGCTTGAGTTAATTCCATCCATGGTAACTGCAAAATTGGTTCTTCAGACCAGATGGATGTTCAAAGTTAGCCCATGAAGGAAGGAAATTATTCAAGTTTTGAGATGATCCGCTTCGCCTCAGTGTTTACTTTTAGGCTAATGCTACTCACGCAAAAGTATTTTTCCTTCAATTGGTAATTTTATTAGAAGAAGAAGTTTGCAAAACAGCTAAAAGCTGAAATGAAAGGACTCAAAGCCAAAAAAAGTAATCTAAAAGTTCTTTAAAAAGTGCAGTCCAGTGACTGTCATATAGCAGTTTGAGCAAGGACACGCCATTCGCCAAGTCAAGCAACATAGCTTAGGTAATAATTCTTGATTTAATTCCATGATGACTGCAACAGCTGGTTCTTCAGACCAGATGGATGCTCAAAATTAGCTCATGAAGGAAGTAAATTAGCTAATCTGGCCGTACCATACCAAAAAATTTGAAATTTTGGATAATCTAGTCCAACGTAACGTAAATAACTTGCTCCTCTGTAAGTTTGAATTGTTGTTCGTGTCAGAAAATTTTTTAATCAAAACAATTTCACAGTAAATCATTACATTTCTGATCTCATTGTTTTGAAATGCAGATCGAACTTCCAAAAGCTTTCTGATGAAAGTGTATGACAAGAATTGAATTCGTGATTTACCGAAATAGAAATTTAAATATTACTCTGGCGAAGGATGTGTAAGTTACAATTAACAGCAATGGCGAAATGATATTAATATTAAACATTTACTGTGAAAAGAAAATAAATTAAAGAGCACCAAACTTTGTCGGTCGCTTTGGTTCTTTAAAGCAGTCGTTGTTTAAGCTTTTCTTTCGCATCTTTCAGTTTTGGAATCACTAAGAGTACTTTCGCAAATTTGTTGGTTTGCTCTTCTTCGAATTTTAGTATTTTCTTTAACCCTTGGACAACTTTTAATTGAAGTGTCTTGACGAGTTCAATGTTTTGTATTTCCAGCTCATCTGAAACAACCAATTTCTCGTGTCGTTATTCAATTATGTAAAGAGGAAAATTAAGTAATGACTAATATTTTAATCTTAAAAAACATAAATTAGGCCTTGTAGCGTGCATGTTTCTAATTCTCGACTATAGTTAAATTTCTTTCTCTTTAATATTATTTTTTGTCTAACGGCTATATCATAAAAACAATCTTACCGTAAAAGAGCGAGTATGCCGCAAGGCAACTGAAAACTTCGGGGGATATGTTGAGGGGTTTGAGAGACATCCAAATTGATTGAACAGCGTCAGCCCATTCTGGCCAGCTCTGCTGCACCTCTTCCTCTGTCATCGACGCCCCATTTGGTAGTTTAAACCTTTTCAGATCGTGACTAAAAATGCAGCAAAGTTTATTCAAAAGTTTCCAGGCCACAAATATTCGGCTTTTTTCATCCCCACTTGCGAATCAAAAGTTATAACCACAAAAATTGCATGTGGGGGGAAATGGTAAAATGCCAAAAAGTTTACTTCACCTTGTCCAATTTTTATAAAAATTGGTATGCAGACTAATTAGGTCGTTTCAATTGTTTTTGGGCATCATACGTGACCTTTTCACTCAATGCGCCATAGAACTGATGCTCACGGAGGCACAGATAATGTGCACTACCTTTTAAAAAATCTATATCAAATTTATTGCCTGTTGGGATTTTACCTGTTGGCTAGGTGATATGCTGTGTAGAGACTGACAACTTCAACCCAGGATGCCTCAATTAGTTTCTGCTGGTCCATGCTTGATAATGTTTTAAAATCTTCTATTTTGTTGGCATATTTGATCATAATGTCCTTGCACTCTGCCCAGATGTGACGAGGACTGCTCTGGCTTGCCTGCTGGTCCAAATGTAGCGCATTGCTGGCTAGAGATGTCGTTGCGGAGGATGCGGATTCGTCGGCATCTTCTAGTTTGAATGACTTAAAACCGGAGTCCTCGAATTTGTTGGCGCTAAGATTTAATTGGTCGTCCTGAAAATAAATCACCTCAGCATCTTTTATTATTGATTTTAGGTTATATATTTATTTTCGAAAAAAGCTGTTAATTCTAATAGTTCATGTCATGCGAGAATGGAAATTCACTTACACCATTAGACACCTTTGAATGGAATGTATCTTCTAAAATCGCATCTGGATCTGATTCACTACTTTTTACTCTTGTGATTAGCAACGGTATTGCAACCAGCTATGTAACTTCTTTTCCCGCGCACAATTTGTTAGTTAAAATAATTTATCAGTTTATTTTATTAGCATATCAAGTTTGAGCTGCTAATTTTGCCCGTTTGGCGCAGTACTTGAAGATTTTTATTGGATTTTTTTCTGACTATGGTTAATCTGATTATTTTTTGTTGGTTATTTTGTCAAAGCATGGGTTTTTCTTCTGATTTTATCAGTTTTCATTTTCATTAGCCTGCGATTAGCAACTTTATCAAGTCTGAAGATAGACTTGTTTCCAGGTTAGCAACTTGTCCAACATATTCACTGAAGCATTACTTAAATTCTCTCTTCAGCACTGTTTTTATCAGTCAACAGACATATTTTGAGCCTTTTTTGATTTTAAATAGCCTTTTCATTCGAAATCAATTTTTTTGTTGATGCAAGTTTGCGAACTTCAATTGTATATAATTTTTAGATTTACGAGATCAAGTGTCTTGTAATCGGGAACTATACAATTGTTCCCGTAACCAATTTTTCGTACAATTTTTCACCTTTTATTAGTTTTCTCTTTACCCTTGCGTTAAGCAAGGGTATTGCATGCGTGTACTAGACTTTTTGCCTTAAATAACCTTTAGCCTGGAGATAACGCAAAAGACTGGGACTGCACCAGAACATGTTTTTCTTTCCAAACGGAAAATTTCTAGTTTGAAATAACATTTTCGACCAATTATTTGTCTTCTTACCTTTTTTCGGCTTAGTAGCCACATCTTGGAAGCGTTTTTTTTTTGCTGTAGGCCTTCATTTATGTAGTAATCAGGTGTAGTCCGTTTCCGGTTTAGTTTTTTTCGAAATTATTTTGTTTACACAGCAAAGCTTGTGTTATAGTATGAACTGTCTTTTTTCCGGACTGTAATGGATATTTAATCCGTCCTAGAAATCGTTCCAAATTGGCTGAAGGAAGCTTATTTGCCATAATTAATTTTTACTAGGAGCGAAATTTATCACTTTTTACTTTGTCTGGCGTGTGGGTGGGGGGGGGGGCAATAATTTTCGTGAAAAATCTCAAATTAAAAAAGATATATATATTTTTTATTACATTTAGCTTTTTTTTATTTTATTACTGCTCCATATACCTTAAAAGGCAGTTGGGAAATTCAGGGCTTCGCCCTGATACGAGTAGTTTTGTATTACAAATAGCATTTAAGCTTCAAGGTATCATGGATCTGTAGTGTAGAGGTAGGGAAGGAGACCGCCAACAAAAAAGGAGGGCTCGAACCTGAGCAGGGTCGGATGCTTTAATGAACTTTTTCGTATACCAACTAAAATGCGCCCGCTCTAAAAATTGAGGCATATGTAATTGCTAAATTTGTTTCTTTTTCTAATTGACTGGTACTGATAATGCGTCATAATTGGCTTGCGTCACTTAAGAAATTTCGTAGACTCAGACTTTTACTCATTAATTGTTCCCAGTAGCGTTATCGGTCATATTTTTGCTTGTGTAAGCGGAGTGCAATTTCGCCTTTGTGTGAAAAATATTGATGTTTATTTTGGATTCGTGGTTTTCTGCCTAGTTTCCGTCGGCTCATTTCCCGCTTTTTTAAAAAATGATTTTCGATTCATTTGGTACTGTTTTTTTTTCGGCTTTTTAAAAATGAAGTATGGAATTTATTAACAATAATGAACGTAGTCAGTACTCTTATATAGGTCTTGCTGATTTTTTTTTTGTTTTTAAAAAGTCTTAAAATTTATTCACGCTCTATTTTGATTTTTCGCGGTTTGACTTATGATTTCTTTTTAAGTTCAGTGAATTTCTATCCAATAAAGGAAAGCAAACTCTACTATCGAACAGCAAAATTTTAAAGGTCACGAAAAACTTGATTGACTTCTGATTTCGAAAATGGATTTAAATTATCAGATTTCCCAGGGTTGATTTTAACATGGTGTTAAAATCAAAGTAGGTTGATTTTAACATGGTGTACATCATGAATTGTTCTACAAATTCAAAGAGGCCATCTATTTTGTTCTTCGAAATTCAAGAGTTGGAGATTTAAAAAAAAACAAGTCAGTTTTTTTTCAGTTTCCTTGCGTTCATTACTATTTTCCAACTGTCAGTTTTTGGTTTTGAATTTTTTTTACTCTTGTTCAGCATTTGTAACTTGTCATTTTTTCTAAGTCTGATTATCATCAATTTTTTTTATAAATATTTTCTGAGTAATTGGTTTCGGCTTAAGTTTTATGGCATAATGAAATTGTAATGCGTTGTTTCGAAATTATATTCCAGTTTTTTTTTTCGAGTAAATGGTTTCGGCTTATGTTTATTGGCATAATGAAATTGTATTGCGTTGATAAAATTGTATCCCTGCTCTACAAAACCAAGTTTAATTATACTTGCGAGTGCAAGGGTCTTGAAATCGGGAACAAGACTTTTTCAAGAAACTACTTCTCTAATATGTTAACTTTTGTTCAACTTGCTTTTTTATTGAACCTTCACAACCTCCTGTTTCCTTCCTATTTGGCCTAGAATTAACGCGGTCGTATGTACATTAAGGTCTGGGGTTCGATTTTCGGCCGAACTTTTTTTTTCAGTATGTATGCAATAGAAAAAACATTTCGCTAAAAATTGAATTGTTCTGCTAAATTTTTCTCAGCTTTTCTCATCACACATCTTGTTTGTCCTGTAAGCAACTTTCATCACATGTGTAAATGTTGTTTTTGTAGGTTCAGGGAGTTGAAATTCGAATTTATCTGTTCAAAGATAGTCTGTTCAATAGGTGTCTGTTAAAGATTGTCGGATTAGTTGCCACATCCCTGATTTGTCTGTTTTTGTGCTCTAGGCAACTTTCTTGTTGCTGAAAGGGCAAGTGTTGCTCATTCTAGCCTCAGGTGGGACTTAAAACTGAAAAGATTTTTTATGAAATCTTATTTTTTTTCTGCTCAACGTGTGTCTACTCAAAGATTGTCGGCTTTTTTTACTCTCGTAAGTTTTGTTCCGTTGCTAAATTAATACTCAAATTTCTGGGATTTTATTCGAATGAAATTCATTTGTATCGAGACATAAAAAAATTAAATTTTTGGTAGAACTAGTTTTTTCAATGTTTTCCATTTTTTCGACTTTAATTTTTTATGTTTGTTTAATCACAAGTGGTGCGAAGCTCCGCTTCACCTCTGTCTTTATTTTCTTCAAAGAATTTTTTTAAATGTTTTATTGGAACTTAACAACTTCCAGGTTCCTTCCCGCTTGACCTAGATGTAACGCCGTCGCCTTTTCACACTAAGCTCTGGGGTTGGAGTCTCGGCCCGGCCTTGTTTTTTTTCAGTTTGTGCAATAGAAAATTTTTCAGTAAAAATTAAATTGTCGGATTTTCGTTTGTCTGCTCATGTTTTATCGGCTAAGTGGCCACACCGAGGACACTGCTTGTGCTCTAAGCAACTTTCATTGTAGTTGCAAGTGTTAGTGTTATGTAGGTTTTTAAAATAAAATCGACTCAATAGGTTTTTTCATCGACTCAATTTGTGACTGCCTAAAGGTTGTGGGCTTTTCTCATCTCTTTAAGTTTTGTCCGTTGCCAATTTAATGTTCAAATGAATGGCATGTTTGCCCAGAATGTATTCCTCTCGAGACTTGCGAAAAGACCTAAGTTTTCGAAAAAAAAATTTTCCGAGTGAGTTGCTTTCGTTTTATTTTCTGCCGGCTAGCTCGTCATGCTATGTTTCGGATGTATCCCAAATGGTCAAACCTCTGTGTCGCCTCTGGTATATCAACGTTATTTACGCTTGAGATAAGCAAGCGTTATCAGACTGGAATTAAGACTTTTTTCGGGTTGACAACTAGTCTTCTTATGTTTTGTCGGCTTATTTGCGACATCTTAGAATTTTTTGCTCTAAACAGTTTTCATAGTAGAAGTTTTTATGTTTTCATTTACTCCTGCAATTTGCAATTCTATTTGCCTTGACTTCGTTTGTTTTTAATCTTTTTCGCTTTAAATTTTTTTCGGCCTAAATGATTTTGCCTTATCAGTTATCGGCTTTCTAACTTCATTTTGGGTCATTCGAAGGAATTTGTATGTTTTCTTCCAAATCGGACAAATTAAAACCCTCAGAATAGAATTTAGATTTCAAAGTTTTTCATGGCAACAATTTTTTTTGTTCGCTGAAAAATATTTTTGAATTTCATTAAGCGCCGTCAAATGCGTTTATAGACGTGTTTTCCGCAATTAGAGTAGCATTCCAGGCAAAATTCTGAATTTTCTTCGTTGAAGTTTCTGCGAAAAGTTTTCCGATTTCTTTGGACTCCTCTTTATTTTCCTGTCTGCTAGCTTGCAATGTTCTTTTGTGGTATCGCAAGTGATGCGAAGCTCCGCTTCGCCTCTGTTTACTAATTTGTAAATTTTTTAGCAGTGATGTATGTTTCTTCCTTACGCTTGCAATTAGCAATTTAAGCAAATCGGAATATAGTTTTATCGGGTTAGCGACTTGCTTGACAGAATCACTTGGTATCTTGGCTCATACTGAAATCGATTTTCGAAGCGTACCCGGCACACTTAGTTTGTAGTTAACGAATACGCCTGGGACAGCCAATCTGAGCAGGACCTGTTTTTTTTTTCAAACTGGGAATATTCTTTTTGAAAAGATTGTTGGCTCATTAAGTGTCTGCTTATGTTTTGTCGGCTTAGCTGCCACATCTTCGAATTTTTTTGTTTTAAACACTTTTTATAGTAGTAGTTTTTATGTTTTCATTTACTCCTGCATTTGTACTTCTATTTGCTTTGACTTTTTAATTTTTTTTACCCAAAATTTTTTTGGCCTAAATGATTTCGGCTGATATTTTATCGGCTCGCTAACCTAATTTTGGGTCGTTCGAGGGAACCATAATTTTTATTCTTTCCTACGGATCGCGCAAAACGTTGAAAATCTGTGAATAAAATTTATAGTTAAAAGTTTTCCATGACAACAATTTAATTTTTGCTCAATAATTGTTTGTGAATATTCATTGAACGCTATCAAGTGTGTTTCTGGATGTTTTCTACAAATAAAACATCATTCTATACAATGTTTTGAAGGTTTTTAATTGTGGTTTTTCCGATTTTTTTCCCGTATTCTTTGGCCTTAGTGGTTAGCTTTTATTTCCTGTCTGCTAGCGTGCAATGCTATTTTTGTGGTAGCGCTTCGCCTCTGTGTCTTCACCCTTGAGGTAAGTAAGGGTATTGCTATGGGTACCAGACTTTTTCCCGTCAACAATTTTTTTGACAGGACTCACTTCTGAACTCCCTCACCTCTTTGTCTTCTTTGCAAATCCTACTCCTCTTGATTGCAAATATTAAACATGGTTGAGTTTGTTATTTTAAATATCCGTCCTTTTCAAAATTTGCTTTTTATGTTGGTTGTGATTTCTCAACTCGATTTGTTGAAGTTATGTTTTTTTTTGTGTCTTTCTTTTCGGCTTAATAGGGTTCTGCCTATTCTATATCGGCTTAGTGGCCTAATTTTGATTAGTTTCAAGGGAAACATAATTTTTATGATGACCTCTCGATCGCTCAAAATGCTGAAAATCTTAATAGAAGTTATAGTTCAAGTTTTTCATGACAAGTTTTCTCGGCTTTTTGTTTTTAATACGAGTTTAAAAGTTTCGACTTATTTTATATCGATTTAATGGCCGCATATTGCGCCTCCCATTGGGCGAATAAGATTTGTGTGTGCGTGTCTGTGTGTGTGCGTGTCTGTGTGTGTGTGTGTAATTTTTTTTTTTCGGCTTGGTAGGTTTCCGCATATTGTACATCGGCTTTTGTTTTTTTTTCGACTTGATAGGTTCCCGCAGGTTTCGAATTGGCTTAGTCGCCTTATTTTGCGTTGTTTCACGAGCTGTGGATGTGTTTTGAGGGTGAGGTTGGCTTAAAACTTTTTTATTAATCTTAATTTTCGGCCTTTTCGGCTTTTGTTTATTTTCTTTTCTTAGGCTTAGTAAGTTTCGGCCAATGTTATATCGACATAGTGGCCGCATATTGTTTCATATGACGCCTGAACACGGTTTGTGTGTGTGTGTATGTGTCTGTGTGTGTGTTTGTTTGTTTGAGGTTGTGGAGGACTTGATAATTTCGAAAAAAAACGGACTTAAGGGATTCTGCTGAGGTGTTTCTGGCTTTGTTACCGCTTGATAACTTTTCTTTCGATTCTAGTTTCACATTTTATTGTCTTGGCTCTTTTTTTGTTTCAATTAGACTTATCGATAGATCTAGTTTCTTCTAATTTTTTGTTTTTTTTACTTGAAAAAAATTAGGTTGAAATTGAATGGTCGGACTTTCATTTGTCCGCTCAGCTTTTGCCAGCTAAGATGCCACATCACGAAATTTGTTTGAGCTGCTAGCAAATTTCATTTCAACTGCAATTGTTGATCATTCTGGAATCAGGGGAAAATTTGCAAGATTAAATTTTTTTTTCGGCTCAACTGGTGTCTGCTCAAAGATTGTCAGCTTAGTCTCTACATTACTGATTTTTTATGTGCTGTAAGCAACTTTCATTTTAGTTGCAAGTGCAAGTGATTTCTTGTATCAACTTGTGTCTGCTCAAAGATTGTCGACTTTGTTGACCTTTTGTAAGCTTTTTTTTCCGTTGCTAATTTGATATTCAAATTTCCAGGATTTTTGCTTGGAATGAAATTTTTATCAAGATTTATCGAGAATTTTAAAGCTTTGGTAGACATTATTTACAATAATTATTTAAATTTTTGTTCGATTTACGTTTTTTTTATGTTTTGTTGCATCGCAAGTGGTGCGGAGCTCCGCTTCGACTGTTTTTTTTTTCATTTTTTCCAGCTTAAATAGCTTCTGCTTAGTCGTCGAAATTTACGTCGTTTGAAGGTAAAAACGAGTTTTTTTATGTATATATGATTCTGGAGGACTTCAAGTCTGAATTTTATTAGCTCCAATTTTTTATGATTAGTTTTGTTTTGTTTTCAGCTCAGCGGGCTTCTACACAAGTATTGTCGATTTAGTTACTGCTTGGTGAAAATGCCTCATTGCTAATTAAGCGCTGGCGATTGGTTCTCGATGTGTTTTCAAATTGAATTTCAGCTAAGACAAATAATAAAAAAATATCGGTGATATAGCCTTTTTGACTTTTTTCATTTTTTTTTGATTTTGTGTTTTTTTTAAATCTCATTGCCCTTGCGATCAGCAAGAGTATTGCAATCGTGTACTAGACTTTTTCCCGTCAACAAATTTGTTCACCGGCTCATCTCCTGGATCCCGAATTAATTTATGGGGCGTTTCAGTTGCAGCAAACATTCTTTGAGCATGCTAGCCGTTTAAGTATCGGGACTACTCGGAATTTGCTTTTTATATTGGTTAAAAATTTCACTGATTCGGTTTGTTTAAATTTATTTTTTTTCTTCAATTTTTTGTTGTGTTACTAGGCTTAACTTTTTGTTGTCTTATAGCCTCTAATTGCATAGTTTGATGAGCGAAAAAATGTTTTGATGTGCGTGTTTGTGTTCTGAGGGGAAGAGGGACTTTTTATATTACTAGTTTTGCATTCTTGAAGAGTATCTGCACTTAGTTACAGCTTTGTAAGTATTTTTCCGATAATAGTTTTGCATTCTTTTGTCTGGGTATGTTTTTTTTCCACAGCTCTCTCTGATCATTTTAATAGATTTAGTAAAAGCTGCGAAGTGCGTGTTTATTTGTGGACAAACATACCATGAGACTGGAATCGAAGCTAGAAGATTGACCCATAGACTCGAAAGCAGATACGAGCATGGTGACGAAGTTCTGCAGTGCTGGTTCCATCGTTGACTGACTTGCAGAAGCCGAAGATGACGTCATGCCGATGTCATCTGAGTTGCTCCAGCTGAGTCCAAAGCTGCCACTGGCCTCGGTGGACGAGTAGTAGTCGGAAACGGATGCAGTGAGAGTGGCGCTGCGAGACTTGCTCACGGGCGAGTCCTCGAAGGACTCGGGAAATGATGATATGGTGGAAGAGGTGGAGGGAGGAGTTTGCGTTTTAGCCTTGGATGGGAGTCTGCCTCTGCGACCACGCAGAGAGTCAGATCTAACCACTGAAACCACAAAAAATGCTTGTTTTTTTTGTTCATTCGCTCTGATAAATCTTAACCGCTAAGGTCACATTTTTTAGCATACTGATTATTTGACAGTGAATGTGTGTCTCTATTTTAAGCAACAAAAGAAGCGTTCGACCGATTTAATCATCATATTATCGAGAATAATGTATCTTACCGTCCTTAACCATTCCGACTGCTAGACACTTCTGGTACCTGCAGTATTGGCATCTGTTCCTTGTTTTTTTAGTTACTGCACAATTTTTACTTCCCGAGCATGAGTATGTGTTGCCTTTTTGCACAGTCCTCTAAAATATACCACAAAATTTAAATCAAATGTAGGCAAATATCGTTATATTGATTATACCTGGCTGTCATATGATTATACCTCATTTTTGAAAGGAAGTTTAGGCATCAGAACTAACCTTGAAGAATCCTTTGCAACCTTCGCATGTTTTCACGCCGTAGTGCTGACATGCCGCTTTGTCCCCACATACAGCACACAGAACCTCCTGCCGTTCTATCTGACCTGGCAAGAGAACATTGATCTCCTGTTGGTGATATGCAGTTGGTTGGAGGCAAGGAGAGTTTGCAGCACTGCTGTCGCTACTGATGGACCATGAGTCATCAACTGATAATGACGCTCCGCTTGCTGCGCTACCTAAACTAGGTCGCTTGTTTCTTCCCATATGCGGGTGTCCAGGGAGTCCCACGATGCTACCGGTAGGCGACGTCAATGCCGAAGCAAACGGTTTTTGAGATGAGAAAACAGCAGCTGGGGAGAAATCAACGGACTGCATCGGGTGGTCGAGTCTAAGGTTCTCAGAGGGTCTGCGCTCTAGAAATGACTGGGTGGCGCCTTTAGAAAAGTTGGGTGGAAGTGCTTGAGTCTGAAACGGGGTTTGTTGCAGATAGTTTCTGCTCAAGTTGCGCATAGCTAGAAGGTCGGCAGGCCGTTTCCGCGCCATTCCTTGTGCACTAAAATTTGGATCCATCTGGGACTGAGTGCCAACAACTCCCTGCTGCATCTGAAATGCTCCACATGATGTGGTGACATGTTGCTGATACATGTTTATATTGGGGTTGAATGGCTCTATGTCTTCCAGGAAGTCCCACAACTCCCTGTCAATTCTCTGACCTTGACCAGGGTGTTCGCCTTGAAGATGTCTGGGTGTTCTCTGAGCGTTCATTTCATGAAACTGTTTTGCATTGGCATGCATGAGGAAGTTTTGATGTTGTTGCTGCATGCTCTGTTCGTGTTGACTTGCTGGGTGGTCCATGCTGAAAATGGAACTAAGGACGGACGAAGAGTTAACATCGTGAAAGAGTAAAGGATGATATGGGTTTGTCGTGTCCACGCCGTGGATACTGTGTTGTGTGTTTGGAATAGAGAGTGATCGGTAGTTTCCGCGGATGTTGGGATTTACTGGATAAGAAGCATGTCCCGGCGGCTCTTGTTTCAGCATTCCGCTGCGGAGTGTGTTGTAGATGAAGTTTTTGTCTTCCGTTGAGATTTGGTTTGAAATACTTGGGTTTGGCACCATAGTAGGGTTGCTGGCCATCATTTGCTGCGAAGAGTCTAATGTATGAGGAGGCGCAGATGCATTGCTTGGTGAAGATATCTGCTGTTCCAACTCTGCGGCCCCACCAGGAAGGTTATGAGATGGATGCTGGAGGTGCAACGAGGATTCCATCTCCATAGGCTCCGGTTCCGTTGGAGACTCAAAAGAAACGCCCATGATTTCATTCCACTGTAGAACTGGGCCCGGCTCTTCAGGCGATGTTATTAGTTGGGATGGCTGAAGTGTTTCCTGTTTTACCGTGCGAGTGTCGCTCGTTCGTTCTGCGCCCGATGGATCATCGAAAGGCAGACTTTGAATTGTCATGTTTCCAGCACTTAGTCGGTGGTGAACTTTGCTTACATCTGATTTTGTTGCTGCTGATGGATGTGAAGTTGACTGGACCTGGAATGGGTAGCTGGTTGTCTTTTTGACTACGTTTTTGTTGCCATTGTTATTGTTTCCCTGAGTGGATTGGTGGGGTTGCATTTGTCGGATTTTGAGTCCCGGTTGTGACAATCGTCTTTTTGTATCTAAAAGACCACATAAATAAGTCCCATTGGAAGAAGAAAAAGAAGCAAGAAGAAAAAGAATTAAGGGAGTGATTGTCTGAATTAACAGATAGACTGTACTGTCTTAAACTTAAGAGTAGAGTGATAGATTTCTAAAACGATTTGACGCAAAACGAACTTATTTTTAATTGTTACGTAAAAACGTTTTGACCATATGCGAGCTATAGAAAATACTCTGTGACGTCGACAATTACCGTAGATTACATTTACGCACGTCTTTTAGAGTAAAATGAAAAATTTAAGTAAAAGTTGTCTGGATACGGGCTTTAAAGATGTGCCTTGCACGTCATTTAAAACTACCATCATCATAATTGAGTTTTTCCCCCTCCTTGGCCGATTTTTTTAATAGTTGAGATAGTTTAAAGGTTGATAACCAAAGTTTATCGTTTCACTTTGATTGGATTCGTTTGAATTTTGGTACTTGCGGAGTTAACTATTTGAATTGTATTGAAAGAAAGATGTGTGAAACTTTTTTTTCGAGACAGGATGAAACCATACTGAAGAGTCAGCGTCAGAGTATTTTTTGCAATCAAGTTTGATACCGTAAATACTCAAATCAGTAGATTTTTGTACTTTTCGATTTTTTTCAAAGCCAAAGACTTGAAAAGTGTTCAAGCTCCTGTTAAAATCACCTAGTGTGAGAAGGAATTTTGAATTCTAGGTGTTTTTACCCTTGAGATTAGCTGGAGTACTTTAGCCTGGTACTTAGACTTTTTCCCCTAAACAACTGCGCCAACAATTCGCACATAAGATATACGTGCTTCATTAATAAAATACAAATCCAATAATGGTTTCTAGCATATTGCCTAGAATTAAAGCCCAAACTTGGGCGACAAAGATGCTGGGTCATATTCCGACCGGGACCCAATTTTTTTTTAAATTGTTTGGGAAGTTTAATGGTCGGTCTATCGCTGGTCGGCTCATTTTTATCGACCAATTTTCTAACTCTTGGATTTTTTTAAAATATAAGCGATTTTTGCTTCAATTGATTTTGAGATTGATTTATCCATTTAGCTCGTAAATTACTACCTATAATTTTATATAATTTAATTTAAGTTTTTTCTTCGCTTTTTTAGCGAAAGTAATTTCGGCTGATGTTATGTCGGTTAAATTGCCTCTTAACTTTGTTTGAAGGTTGAAGAAGTATTTCAATGCGTTTGTGCTTGGGGACGCGCAAGAAACTTTTTTATCTCAAGATTTAATAACCTTGTTTTTTCGGCTCAACGGCTGTCAACCCAATTAATGACTGCTTAGTCGCAGCCTAATAATGTTGCCAAGCTGATAAATAGTCAAGTGTACTTGACAAGCGTATAGTATAAAGTTGACTTATTAGATTTTGTCCCATTTTCTTTCGACCAGCTGCCCTGCTTTTTGTATTGCAAGTCGTGCGAAGCTTTGCTTCGTCTCTGTTGATTTTTGACTCAACGCAAGATCAGGTGCCAGAATTAGGAGGTCAGATAGATACTGTTTTCATGTAAACAACTTGTTTAACAAAATTATTTAGTCAACTATGATATTTCGTCACTCAAAAGACATTTCTAACATGTTTGTAATATGAACGCCAAATCTATTCGAAGGCAGTTTAAAAGCTTTTTAACACCTCCGATTCCATTAAACTCCAGTTCTTTTTCGCTTTAAAGGTTTATTTGACTTGAATGGTTTTTGCCGTTTTAAATTTTTCTAAGGCCTGATTAACTCGTTTTGTTTCTTTTTTTTTAAGGGCAATAAGTTTTCTAGTCGTGTATCAGCTTCGATGTGACTAAAAGTTGTTTCGTTTTATCACTAAATTTTCTAATGACATTCTTTTTCGGTCAGTTGTATCTTCTTAGGCTTATTTGGCTTTGTTTTAAAGCTCTGCTAGTCGTGATTCAAACTGCAATGAAAACTTTTCCGTAACGAGAAAATTAGGGGCAAATTAGTGCAATGTCTTTTGGGCTGAAAAAACTCCCTTTACTAGACAGATTCAATTTAAATTACTCATGCGAGGGGTCTTTTCTCGTCGCACTTGCGAGAGTAGGTGACTTATAGTCGCGGACTTTTTTTTTCAGTTATGTTTTTCTTACGCGGAGAATAAAATCTGAAGAACCATCCTCACGATAAAATAGAAAAAAGCTTCGAATCATTCTGCAGTAATGACTTGATATTGGGTAGCACTTGCACATGTACACATTGCTTGTGTCTAGTATCTGTAGGAAATATTTGAACGCAGGAAAACTAAATAAAAGTAGGAGAAGGTGGTTGCTGTACAAGTAGAACAGCAGTTTCTGAGCGCTTTGTTCTTTGCAAAACTCAATTAGAAAACCAAATTTCCTTTTTTTTGCGGTTAACCAGACTCGTCTGATCAAAAAGCGACTTTTTTTCCAGGTGAGCAACTTTCAAACAGAAATACTGATAAAAATTTTCAAATATGAGTTCCGCCTCTGCCATTAATGAGCACTTCTGCTTTTCAAATGATCATTTTTAAAGAAATTTGTTTTGTTGATGCTTGCTGTAATGTTACGAATTCTGGTCTAGCTTAATTTTTGTTGGCGAAGAATTGATCAAATTTCGATTTTTTATATAGCGGCATAGTGGCCTCATTATTTCTGGTTTGATGAGCGAAAAAAAGTTCAATATCCGTTTTATTTTTATTTTGATAGGAGACTTTGTAACGTTGTTGAGCTTTTACTTTGTTTAGGCTCAACGGGTATCACCATACGTTTCTTTGGCTGTGTTTTAAAGCTCTTCGATAACAAGAAAACCCTTCGTATCATTTGCTGTGTTTTAAGCTCTTCCATAACAACAAAACCCTTGGTATCATCGGTTGTGTTTTGAAGCTCTTCTTTGCAAACTTCCAGTTTCAAAAAAAGTTTTTCTGCATAACGCGAAAATTAGGCGCAAAGTTATACTTGAAATACTCCAGTCACAAGACTGAGACTTATTTACAATTACTTTTTTGATAGCATCTATTATATATTTAAATGCGGGCTTCACTATCTCGCCATGTTTAAGCGTTTTCAACGTATTATTTTTGCATGTTTAAGCCATATCGTATGTTGCAATGCTTAAGAAAATTTTTAGATTTTCAAATTATGCAAAATGAACAAATTCAAATTTAGGCCAAATGAACTTTTTCCAAAAATCATTCCAAATTTCGCTGATAAGTTTTCAACGTATTGTTTTGTGGTTTTGTGTGCGTAGTTTTACTGCGCTGTTGCATATTGGTTCTTTTCTTTATGTGCAGCGCATTATAGCTACACTTGAATAATCGCTATGTTATTTTGTTATTTGTGAATTGCAGTTAGGGGGTCAAGGGGGCGATTCTCCTTATTTAGTAACACATCCCCACCCTCCCCCCACCCACATGCATTATATTACCCCTCCCCCTAACCCTAACCCAAACATGATTCAGGACTCCAGGATTGAGGTGAGTAAAACGTGGGTAACACAGCTTCATTCTTCATGACATTTGTTTTGTTTCTGCCCCCCCCCCCCCACACGCATTATTATACCCCTCCCTCTCCCCCTCCCCCCTAACCCAAACATGATTCAGGACTCCAGGATTGAGGTGAGCAAAACGTGGGTAACACAGTTTCATTCTTCATGACATTTGTTTTGTTTCTGACGAGATGAGAATGGCAGTGGACTAAGAGTTTAAGATTCCGATTTTCCTCGTGTAGGCATGCTTGGGCAATGGTTTGAAGATAAGAAACATTAGGGACTGTAATAGTGATAGGAATGGCAAACTCGGTATGTTATTTACGAAGATGCCTAGAGGACATGTAAAAAATACAGAAGATAGGCAACAGCACTCATCCTTGAGGACCCACTTGTATATTTTATTACAGTTGCGTGAGTAGGTGCCTTATAATCGCTGACTAATTTTTTAAGTATGTTTTTCTTTTAAGGAGAAAAAAAACTGAGGACCCATCTCACGATAAAATAGGAAAAAGCTCCTCGGTTCATTATTTGAAAATTATGCACAAAAACTTACTCAAAAAACTGCACTCACAAGACTGAGACTTATTTTTACTTACTCTCGCGATAGCTTAGTTTTTATTGCACTTGCGAGAGTAGTTGCCTTATTATTGACAATTTTTTTTTATCTGTTTTTCTTCTAAGGTGAAAAAAGTTAGAGGACCCATCTCACGATAAAATTGAAAAAAAAGCTCTTTGATTCCTTTTGCAGAAAAGTCAGAATATTTTGTAGCGTTTGCCCATGTAACGGTTGCTTGTGTTTAGTCCCTGCAAGAATGATTTGAATATAGAAAATTTCATTAAAAGTAGAAGAAGCTGGTTGCTGTTCAGGTAGTACAGCAATTTATGAGCTCGTTGGTTTTTGCATAACTTATTTAGAAAACCAAATTTAACATGTTTTTTTTGCGCTAAGCAAGACTAGTCAGATCAGCAAAACGGCTTTTTTAGAAATTCATTTTTCTGATAATCACTTATTTTACGAACTGATCTAAACTAATTTGGGTTTTAAAATAGTTTTTTGAAAAGTTTCGTTTCTTTCTATGTCGGCATTGTGGCTTCAATATTTCTGGTTTGTTGAGCAAAAAAAAGTTGCATAAACGTTTTTTTGTTTTGATAAGGGACTTTGTATTTTTGTAGCACTAATTTGTAACTGTTTTGACCGTTACTTATTTTGGGCTCAACGGTTATCACCGTCGGTATCATCAGTTGTGTTAAAGCTCTTCTTTGCAAAATTCTAGTTTCCCAGAGAACTTTCTGCATAACGCGAAAATTAGGCCCAAAGTGTTTCTCAAAATACTCCACTCACAAGACTGAGACTTATTTTTAATTGCACTCGCGATAGCATAGTTTTTATTCTATTTGCGAGAGTAGGAGCCTTATAACTGTTGACTAATTTTTTTAGCATCTGTTTTTTTTTCTATGGAGAAAAAATCTGAGGGCGCATCTCACGATAAATTAGGAAAAACGCTCTTTGATTCATTTTGCAGAAAAAATATTTTGCAGAAATATTTTGTAGCGTTTGCCTATGTACCGATTGCTTGTGTTTAGTCCCTGCAAGAAATATTTAAAGGTAGAAAACTAGTATAAAAGCAGAAGCTGGTTGCTGTGCAGGTAAAACAGCTATTTCTGAACGCATTGTTCTTTTCAAAAATGATTTAGAAAACCAATTTTCACATTCGTTTTGCGGTTAGCAAGGCTTGTCAGTTCAGCAAAAAGGATTTTTTTTAGAGTTTTTTCAATGCTTGCTGTTATTGTACAATTTGATCTAACCTAAATTCTGTTTAAAAATAGTTTTTTCGAAGTTTCGATTTATTCTATATTGGCATAATGGCTTCATTCTTTCTGCTTTGTTGCTCGAAAAAAAAGTTTTTCTACTGTATCCGTTTCTTTGTTCTGATGGGAGACTTTGTAACTTTACTGAGCTTTTTTTTGTTTGGGACACAATGGTTATCAGCGTCCATATCAGCAGTTGTGTTTTAAAGCTCTGCTTCACAAACTTCTAGTTTGAAAGAAAAATTTCTGCAAAATTTGAAAATTATGCACAAAAACTTACTCAAAATACTTCACTCACAAGACTGAGACTTATTTTTACTTACTCTCGCGATAGCTTAGTTTTTATTGCACTTGCGAGAGTAGTTGCCTTATTATTGACAATTTTTTTTTATCTGTTTTTCTTCTAAGGTGAAAAAAGTTAGAGGACCCATCTCACGATAAAATTGAAAAAAAAGCTCTTTGATTCCTTTTGCAGAAAAGTCAGAATATTTTGTAGCGTTTGCCCATGTAACGGTTGCTTGTGTTTAGTCCCTGCAAGAATGATTTGAATATAGAAAATTTCATTAAAAGTAGAAGAAGCTGGTTGCTGTTCAGGTAGTACAGCAATTTATGAGCTCGTTGGTTTTTGCATAACTTATTTAGAAAACCAAATTTAACATGTTTTTTTTTGCGCTAAGCAAGACTAGTCAGATCAGCAAAACGGCTTTTTTAGAAATTTATTTTTCTGATAATCACTTATTTTACGAACTGATCTAAACTAATTTGGGTTTTAAAATAGTTTTTTTGAAAAGTTTCGTTTCTTTTTATGTCGGCATTGTGGCTTCAATATTTCTGGTTTGTTGAGCAAAAAAAAATTACATAAACGTTTTTTTGTTTTGATAAGGGACTTTGTATTTTTGTAGCAGTAATTTGTAACTGTTTTGAGCGTTACTTATTTTGGCCTCAACGGTTATCACCGTCGGTATCATCAGTTGTGTTTTAAAGCTCTTCTTTGCAAAATTCTAGTTTCCCAGAGAACTTTCTGCATAACGCGAAAATTAGGCCCAAAGTGTTCCTCAAAATACTCCACTCACAAGACTGAGACTTATTTTTAATTACACTCGCGATAGCATAGTTTTTATTCCATTTGCGAGAGTAGGAGCCTTATAACTGTTGACTAATTTTTTTAGTATGTTTTTTTTTCTATGAAGAAAAAATCTGAGGGCGCAACTCACGATAAATTAGGAAAAAAGCTCTTTGATTCGTTTTGCAGAAAAAATATTTTGCAGAAATATTTTTTAGCGTTTGCCTATGTACCGATTGCTTGTGTTTAGTCACTGCAAGAAATGTTTCAATGTAGAAAATTAGTATAAAAGCAGAAGCTGGTTGCTGTGCTGGTATAACAGCAATTTCTGAGCGCATTGTTCTTTGCAAAATTGATTTCGAAAATCAATTTTCACAAACGTTTTGCGGTTAGCAAGCCTCGTCAGGTCAGCAAAAGGGATTTTTCAGAGTTTTTTTCAATGCTTGCTGTTATTGTACAATTTGATCTAACCGAAGTTCTGTTTAAAAATAGTTTTTTCGAAGTTTGGATTTATTCTATATTGGCATAATGGCTTCATTCTTTCTGCTTTGTTGCTCGAAAAAAAAGTTTTTTTTTGTATCCATTTCTTTGTTCTGATGGGAGACTTTGTAACTTTACTGAGCTTTTTTTGTTTTGGACACAACGGTTATCAGCGTCCGTATCATCAGTTGTGTTTTAAAGCTTTTCTTTGCAAACTTCTGGTTTGAAAGAAAAATTTCTGCGTAACTCGAAAGTTAGGCGCAAAAAGGTGCTCAAAATACTCCACTCACAAGACTGAGACTTATTTTTGATTAATCTCGCGATAGCATAGTTTTTATTCCACTTGCGACAGTGGGTGCCTTTTAACTATTGACTAATTTTTTTAGTATCTGTTTTTTTTTCTAAGGAGAAAAAATCTGAGGGCCCATCTCACGATAAATTAGGAAGAAAGCTCTTTGATTCATTTTGCAAAAAAACCCGAATATTTTGTAGCGCTTGCCTATGTACTGATTGTTTGTGTTTAGTCGCTGCAAGAAATGTTTCAATGTAGAAAATTAGTATAAAAGCAGAAGCTGGTTGCTTTGCTGGTAAAACAGCAATTTCTGAGCGCATTGTTCTTTGCAAAATTGATTTCGAAAACCAAGTTTCACAAACGTTTTGCGGTTAGCAAGACTCGTCAGGTCAGCAAAAGGGATTTTTCAGAGTTTTTTCAATGGTTGCTGTTATTGTACAAACTGATCTAACCTAATATCAGTTTAAAAATAGTTTTTTTTTTGAAGTTTCGATTTATTCTATATTGGCATAATGGCTTCATTTTTTCTGCTTTGTTGCTCGAAAAAAAAAGTTTTTTATCCGTTGCTTTGTTTTGATGGGAGACTTTGTAACTTTACTGAGCTTTTTTTTCTTTTGGACACAACTGTTATCAGCGTCCGTATCATCAGATGTGTTTTAAAGCGCTTCTTTGCAAACTTCTAGTTTGAAAGAAAAATTTCTGCATAACTCGAAAATTAGGCGCAAAAATTTACTCAAAATACTCCACTCACAAGATTTATTTTTGATTAATATCGCGATAGCATAATTTTTATTCCTTTTACCAGAGTATGTGCCTTATAATTGTTGACTAAATTTTTTAGTATCTGTTTTTCTTTTAAGGAGAAAAATCTGGGGACTCATCTCACGATAAAATAGCCCATGTAACGATTGCTTGTGTTTAGTCCCTGCAAGAATGATTTGAATGTAGAAAATTTAATTAAAAGTAGAAGAAGCTGGTTGCTGTGCAGGTAGTACAGCAATTTATGAGCGCCTTGGTTTTTGCATAACTTATTTAGAAAACCAAATTTCACATGTTTTTTGCGGTTAGCAAGACTTGTCAGATCAGCAAAACGGCTTCTTTCAGAAATTTGTTTTTCTGATGATCACTGTTATTTTACGAACTGATTTAACCTAATTTCTATTTAAAATTAGTGTTTTTTGAACAGTTTCGTTTTATTCTATGTCGGCATCACGGCTTCATTCTTTCTGGTTTGTTGAACAAAAAAAACTTTCTTATACGTTTTTCTGTTTTGATAAGGGACCTTGGATTTTTGTAGCATTACTTTGTAACTGTTTTGAGCTTTTACTTATTTTTGGCTCAACTGGTATCAGCGTCCTTATCGTCGGTCTTGTTTTACAGCTCTTCTGCGCACACTTCTGTTTTCAATGAAAAACTTCCGCATAACGAGTTAATTAGGCGCAAATTTTTACTCAAAATACTCCGCTCACAAGACTGAGACCTATTTTCAATTACTCTTGCAATAACACATTTTTTTTCACGTGCAAAAGTAGGGGCCTCGTTATCGTTGACTTATTGTTTTTAGCATCTGTTTTTCTTACGACGAGAAAAATCTGAGAGCCCATCGGGCCCATCTCACGATAAAATGAAAAACGCTCTTCGATTCATTTTGCAGAAATTACTGTATTTTTGTAGTGTTTGCCATGCGTCATTGAAACATAAAAGTTGTAATACGTACCTGTTTTTGAAATAGCTGCCGATTAAAGAATTATTTGGTAGATGTTTTCTCAGCATCTGAGTTCGAGTTGTATTCGTTGAAGGAAAATGATGATAATCCAAATTTATATTTTTGTTTTTGTAATTGGTTTGAATTGTTTTTGTAATTGGTCCAGAGACCAGCAGTTCATTGAACTAATCTTGGACCAGTCTAGACGTCTATTTCAAATAAGCGTTCTCATCTCAAAAGGATAATCTGTAGCAGTCTATTTTTCACGATTTCGAACAAAGTATAAAAACTTCGAATGTCTCAAAACTTTTTTTGTAACTAACTGGCTGAGGGAGAATGATGGTAGGTATAATTAGTCCTTCTTCTTTTTCTGTTTGTTTTTTTTTGTTTCAAGTAGGAGAGTCGAGAGGACTGTTTTGAATTGGACTGGAGACAAACGAGTGGGTTTATTTTTATGGTTGGCGGTGGTTCTGATAATAGACTGGTGCGTTGGTGTAGGAGTTGAGTTGATTGGTAGTTGATTAATTGAAGCGTGCTTGCCTTGCCTCCTTTTCCATTTTCCCCCAATTTTTATCCATTTGTTGTCGCTTGGATAGAAACAAATTGCGTAGTTAGAAAAGTGTGACGTAAATCTCGTTTTATGGACAAATATGGAAGTTTTTCCCACATTTCAGTTCCTTTTAACGCTTCTTATACTCCTGTGTGTTTTCATATTTTCCCTCTATGGCACCAAAACTGTCGTTCTTACCACTTTTTTAAATATTGTAAACTCAATAAACAGTCGTGATGTTTGTCGGCACTACTACTACTACCATTTTGGTGCTATTCTTAGATGTATATTGTAGTTTTTGATCAATCCCTCGCTATTTTTTCTGCCTGTAGATATTTTTCTTTTCACCAGGGATATCCTTTGACAGATAAACTGTTGAGCGGTGTAACAGTGTGATAGAAATAGCAGCTCTTCTGTAGCTATTTTTCTTTGACTGAACGTATTTTTAGAATTATCTGATAATAGCGGATGGGTAATTTTTTTCTGTTGACTTAAAGTTAAAATTTAGTTTGGCTTCGTTAACCCTGTCCTTTGTTTGTTGTGTATTAAATACCACCTACGTTTTTTTGAACTGACAATTTAATGATGTACAATGATCTTAAGCACAACAGTGGTGACGCAAGTTAAACTAAGATGGTTTTTATTTCACTTTTAAGATTAAAGCTATCGAGCTGAGTGAAAATTTTTAGCTTATAAATCACCAATAAGGGATTTCGCAATTAGTTTTTTTTTCGTTTCGTTCAGGACGTTGGTAATAAGTTCTGAAGCACAATGCTATACATTTTGCTGGTGATGTTACGAAAACAAAAGACGACTTAACTTAAGATTTAAGCTGTAGAAATTTGTTTAAATTGTTTCGACGCGATAAGCGGACTACAATTGATTTCAAAAGTCCATTTATTTTGTTTTACGGCCTAAAATTAACAAACTATTAATTAAGCTTAATTTTGATATCGAGCGCCAGAAGTTAATTTCAATTAATCAGATGTAATTATTTTTATTCAGTTTCAAAAAACAACAGGGATAGCGGGTTGCTGTGCAATTAGCACAATGTTTCGACCATATTCTCAAAACAGATACATAACCTTTTTTTCATGTTTTCCCCTCAAATTATTTTTTTTTTCAAGCATGGTCTGAAGAAAACAATCACAGTAAAATAGGCAAATCGGGCAATGGTTTTTGTCGAAAAATGACGAGAAAAAACAGAAAAACCACAAATTTATTTTTTCAATTTTTTTTTTTGCAGAAATTGTTTCGAAGTTTTTTATTCCAAAGTTTCAAAAGAAAGTTTACTGAAATATCATGGTTTATCCTTCTATAATAATCCTATAGTGGCTTTAATCGCGCGAAATAAGACTAAAAATCAGAAATTCAAACCGGTTTTTCTCGACACTGGGAAAATTTTTCGAACAGTTTTAACATTTGTTCGTATCAAGATTGAAAGGTATTAATTTGATATATCACTTGACCCATTCCGATGATCATTTGTGGTACCTCATTTTGCGTGGAAAACAAAAAAAAGAAAACTAAAACACACCCGAATCCAAATTCCTCCCCATTTACCCCAAAAATTATATTAATTAAGTTTCAATCAATCTATTAAAAGTCAGTTAAATTAACAATCTTAAATTATTAATAATAAATTTACAATAATTTGATGATTGTGATTGTGTGTTAACTTGATTCAATAAAAAAACTCACTATGCGATAAAAATATATAATTCTATTTGGTTCCATAAAACGGTCCTAGAGAGTGGGTTCTTACGGAAGGGAAGGTGGCAAGTTTCTGTTTTGGTGATAAAAATTGACTTAATCAATTTCTCATATTAAAGCACTTTCAATCAAGATTCGAATGACATTTAAAAAATTTCCAAAAACTTTCACAGTGTTGAGGAAACCGGTTTAACACAGTTTTAGTTCAATTTCGAGCGAGTAAAGCGATCGAGTAACCTTCGTTATTTTTATTATTGGCCATTTAGGCTAAAAAATTTGATTTTTTTAATAAAGAAAACCAATTTTGCAATATTCACTAAGTGCTTTTTTGGCTGAATGATTTATACAAATTTAAAATTTTTAGTGAAGAAATTAGGAAACATTTTGAAGTTTTTTTCTTTCAACTTTTCGTTTATTTATTTTTTGAAGACAATTGTAGTGTTTGAGTCTAATTCACTTTTCTACGAGTTTGTACAGTTTTGCCTTATTAAACTATATCACTAAGGAAAGGGCTTTAATATGATATATCACTCGAAGCATTCCGATGATTTTTTATGGCACCTGATTTTGCGTGGAAAACAAAAAGAAAAAACTAAAAGACACCCAAATACAAAGTATCTCAAATTTTTGGTTCATAAAATTATATATATTTTTTCAATTTTGCGTTTATTCATTAAGACCATTGTAGTGTTTTATGCTTAATTCGCCAATTTTCTTCACGTTTCTGTAATTCTATAATCATCACGCAGAAGTAACGACGCTAATTTGAAGATTAAAAAAGCGTTTTTTATATGTTTTTCTACGAGTGTAGTCAGAAAGTCTTATGCTAATTGCGCAGCAAGCGGCTGTCCTTGTTTGATAAAAGGTGGTTTTGTTTTTTTTTGTCTAATTTTCTGTTTGTGATGCTATTTTTGTGCTGTATCGCAAGTAGTGCTATGCTGCGCTTCGCATAATGTCGTATAATTTGTTTTTCTGAGCTCCAGATTTGAAATTTAATCGGTCGGATATATAAGCATGCTGTTTTAAGAGTCGATGAATGATGTTTAGAGTCTTATAAGGTCGCGATTTTTTTTAATTTAAGGTAAACTTCATCATCGAAAAGCAAGTGTAAGGTTAACGAAAAACTTAATCTCTATTTTCTTAATCTATTTTCGAAAATGCTTTTTAATTTTCAGATTTTCCGGCTGATTAAATACCTTTTAATCCAGTTTTCTCAAATTGAGTTAATTTTATCGAAAAAGTCAATCAAATTTTGTTTTTCAAATTCAAAGAGCTTAAAAACCTTCTATTTATTTCTTTGTAAACAGTCGAAAGTTGAGATTTTTCAAAAGATTAATCAGTATTTTTTTCCTGTTCACTTGAGTTCATTGAGTTATTTCAGAATTGACAAAACGCTTGAATCGTTATCTCTGAGGATGTTTTTAACTTTATAAAACTTTATCATTACAAAACTTTATCATCTATATTTGTTCAGTTTTTAAAAGACATTTATTTTCAGATATTGTTACTTGCCTATGTAAGCTTATTTGGCGTTAATGGAATTAGGCGGCGATGCTGATACTTCAACTAGTGGAAAAGATCTAATTTTAGGAGTGCTCAAATCTAGCAGCGTGACAGCCGAGTACCCTGTAGTTGCACCATCTAAATGGCTCTCTGCAACTCGTGATGGAAGCAAGGAACAGTCCGCCGAAGAGCAAGTTAGCTTTAATATGTTATGAAAAAGACATGAGCTCAAAAAATCATGGTTGCTATCTAGATTGAAATCCGTCATTGTACATACAGAAAATGTTTAGACAATTGGGTTGAATTGATATTGTTTGTTCCATTTGAAAAATTGCCTCAAGTATCTGTGAATCAAATTCGGATGAAGCAAAAAAGTAAAAAAAAAAAAAGCTGCGCATTTGAGCAGTTGGAAACCGAGCTTATTAAGCTGAGTAACGAGACTTCGATGGTATTTTTTTTATGAGCAGCCCTTCAAGGCACTTTAAATAATGGCCCAGATTGTAAATACAAAGTGGAAGAATGTAAAATGATTGGACAGTTTTCCCCTACAGCGATTATTCCCGCGATTAGTTCTTAGAAGCTGAACTACCGTTTAAACGACATCATCGATGTCTTCAATTGCCTTGAAGGCGACAATAAAATTTATAAAAAGACTTCATGAATTCATAAAATCCGAGGCAAAAAGATCCGATCGGGCAAAAATGATTTCTTTCATTTCACAGACCTATTTTACGTGTCGAAATTTGAGTTTAAATTGAGATGAGATCACGTGACACCTAGGCCTTATGGTATACGTGATCAAATAGTATGGAACCACAAAAGAATACGTCTTCCTCAGCCGGACCAGGCACGATGGGCTGAAAAGGATTTGGGCGCTGGATTGAAATTCTCGACTGATAGATGACAACAAAGTTAAAATACCTGAAAATGTTTGAAGAGGTTGCAGGTTGAGGATTGAAGTTGTAAATTTGGAAGCGAAGATTCGGTCCAAATTTGAAATTGAGGAGAAAAAAGACTAAATTCTGCTTATGTAGAAGACAGTAAACAAGGCAAACAGGGAGTAAGTTCACGGCTATACAAAACAAAAAGGCATCAGAGTGTAACTGATTATAGAGCGTGTGCTTTAAGATTGTAAGTTCATGGGTCTTTTTTATATCGGATTTAATGCCATGGAGGTTTGATATTTGCGAGACATTTCCTTGTTGATGTTTTCAACCGTTGCCATCTAAATTGCAGATCTAGCAGTTCGGCAGCAAAAGAAATATCCGAATTGGACTTAAGTTTTGGAAAATTTTTATGGCCACGGCGGCAGAATGATGGTTGGAAGTGTTTGTTATAGATCAGCTAGTATTATTTTGTTTACTTGTTTACACGTTTTATTTAACTAGTTTGTCCTGATTATGATTTTTCCTGTTTATATATTTATTGCTCACTGTTTTGTCCAAATTTGTTCCCTTTAATTGGTACTACCTAATCCATGATGCGCCCGTTAATATTTTGTTTACTTGCATTGTTGTTTGCATCAAACTGATGGATTGTTTGGTTTTGGTGCTGACTTGGCAATGGTGCGAGCATACCAAACAGAAACCGAGCTAAACCTATAAATATGAATGAACGCCCGGTGAGATGACGAATGAGGCTGCAAGAATCTGTTGTCCTTTTGGTCGCTCGCTCGGTTCGGCTTACGAGACCTAATAGTGTGATCGAAAGTTCACCCCGCCTTGTTGAGATGGCCGAATAGGTCCAAAAGGCGGAAGACTTCAAAGTTTGATCTGTTTTGTAAATAGTGATAGCAAAATGATCGGAGGCGTTTCCACTTTACCTAATTGTTCATTAAAACGAATGTTTGATGTTCTTCTTAACTGTTCATTAATACGGTTTGACCAAACGTTTCTGACCAAGAGATGCTGAGTTTTTTTCATTGTTTTTTTCATTACAAAGAGGCAGATTTAAAAGGTGGTACTCATTACGAATAATTCTTTCTATAAAATCGGTCATCTAAGAAGTTAATTTTAAACTGTTTGTTGGCTCTGTTTTTTTGTTCACACCGATGAAACCAAGTTAGGAATCACCTATACGTTCGTTACCAAAATTTTCATATTGTTTTAGCAAAATCATGTACAGTTCTCAAAATTTGCTTGAACTGCTAAAATTATTTTTAAAAACAATGATATCCACCATCTCATAAATAATTGCTTAAACTGACAGGATTTCTTAAGCAAAAACGTATTTGAAGATTTTTCGGCCGTAAACAGTCGTTCTTTCTGAAGTCTGCTCTCAGTTGCAGTTTAAGATTGGACAATTAAATTGAAAATATCGCTTTATCTACGTTTTCATAAGAAGAAAAGATTCATTGATTTCTCGTAATATCAGTTCATAATGAAACACTTAAATAGAAACAGTAATGGTAGAAACCCAGAGAGGGCTGAGGACAAACCCACAAGGATTGCAGGGTCATACCCTGAGTTCACAAATAATGGTACAAATTTTTATTACGCTTGCGATTAGTAAAGGTTATCAAGTCGGAGTAACGACTTTTTTAGGTAAACAGCTTGAATCATTTGATAGCTTGTTTTATTAAGAGACGAGGAACGTAGTGAAGACTCTTATATAGGTCTTGGTGATTTAAGTGTTAAAGAACCAAGTGATTTCCTTTATATGGGTCTTGATTAACCTTGCGATAAGCAAGGGCATTGCAATTCAGTATTAGTTTTTTTACCGTAAATAATTTTGTTTACAGGATGACTGAAGTTTTGGTCATGTCTGCTTTCGTCAACGAACAGAAATTTGGAGAACAGACAATTTTCGAGCGTTTCTGCATTTTAAATGCCCGTTCTATTTGAATATATTTTTTGTTGGCTGCAAGTACTCCGCTTTCAGTATATCAGTTTTTTTGTTTTTCTTTTTTTTTTCTGCTTATTCAGCTTAAAAAGTTTCGCTTTTAAGATATCGGCTCAGACGTCTTTTTGAGAGGTTTGAGGACCAATCAATTTTTTTGTAAGTGTTTTGAGGAGGGAATTGAAAACTTTTGAGTTTTTAAGTTTTTAGAAACTTTAAATTGAAACTCGTTTTGAAATGTTGTTTTTTTTCAATACAGTTTTGGGATCATTCGTTCTGTTCATTCTCCTATTAGTCACAAACAAGCATTCAATGGCCATGACCTAATACTTTTGAATTTATGATGTTAACTGAATTACAAAAACTCCTAAAATGGTTTCTTTGACTGGTTTGAGTTGGTGAATGAGCTTTTATAATTTAAAAAAGCGCTATAGAACGGCAAGATTGTGCCTACTCCTGAAATTTTCGTGAAAATGTGAATCAGCTCGGGTTTTTTACTGTCAGTTTTGTCACAACTGAGCACTGGCATCAATTTTTGTATGGTAAACGGTACGAAGCTCCGCTTCGCTTTCATAAGAGCAAAATTGAATTTATCGTAAAACAGCCGACAATTCGATTGTCATATTCACTTCTATCGTGTTTAATTGCAAAGCATGAATTTGTTCACTTGATGTATCAAATATTTATTTCGTATGAATTTCCTATTTCTTCTTCTTTTTCAAAAGCCAGTGCGGGTAACATTTTGAGTGCTAAAGCGAACTCGTGGTTTGTTTCGTAATCCTTTTTCAATCCGAGCTCCGCGGTTTTTCTCATAAAACTTTGTGAAATATGGAAGAAACGTCCCGACAGCTTGGTCTCGGGAAAATTTTTCTGAAACGCTTGAATAGCGGCCTGCTCAAAATCCAGTTCAATTTTTTCAGGTCTACTATCAGGGCTAGTATTTTTAGGGCTTCTAAGAAACGGTGGTAAGTTTTTTCTGTTTTATTTGGCAGGAACGCATATATGCAAGCAGGGGCTATTCCTGAAAGACTAACGTGTATGGAGTAAAGTTGATAAAACATTTTCGGGGTGACTTTAAAAGTTCCATCAGCCAACCAAAAGTTAGATGTTTCAAGCACATGTAGCATTTCAGGGTCGCCGAATAAAATAATCCTTTCGTGATCATTTTGCCCACTGTCAAATCTTATAAAATTTTTGAAAAGTTCGGGTATTCCGAAACTTCTGGTTGCTGGGGAGACTGGTAAGACTTCTTCTCGTTGCTTGCGCGCTCGTTGCGCGGTGCGAACTAAATTTTCTGTGGATGGTAGGGCTAGTTGAGTGGTAATGTTGTCTGTAAAGAGCGGCATTTATGGGTTTGGTACTTTGAGCCGATACAATTTGTTGTTGTCTTGTTTTTGCGTTTAAGGTAATACTCGTGGCCTGATACCACTAGCATTTGTTTGTCTTTCGAAGATAAAGTAAAATGGAATGACGCTTCAAACATTATATCTGATCTGATAGAGTGGTATAACAATGGTCAAAGAAATAGGCAGTATGATTTTTTTAAAACTCACAAACGTCTTTTGTTGCCTTCAATTAGCACCATGTAGGTTCTCTGTTTCAAGCGCGTGAGTGAGGGATTATTTCTCCAACTAATCGAAATGCAATTACTCTTGAGAAGCTAGAGGCATCAAGTGAATTAAGACTAGCTTTTCAGGCCTCATTTAGTAAGCTTAATTGGACTACTCCTGTACTTATAAAACGGACTTAATTTGAAATAAATTATCGTCATTAAAAGGGGTTAAATTGTTGTGGGGTTATCATGTTACGGTGTTATAATATAGGGGGTGTAAACAGAGGGGTTATATATCGTAGGGTTAAAGAGTGGGACACCCAATGATTCACATAATTAAACATAATGATTCACATAATTAAACCCTATTTTTCTTGTGTATATTCTTCTTGTTAAAACAGATTCAAGGAAAACGTCAATTTAAAACGTTTAAATCACAATTATTATGAGCCGTAGATTGGTTTTTGGATATAAAAAGAATGACATAAAAACCTGGATTAGCTATCGCGTATCATATCCGAGTCTTGAACTCACAAAGCTTGAGATGTTTTTTGATTTTCAGATTTGGTATTTTCATGAGATAGAGGTTTGCTGTTCCTGCCTTGTAAACCGGTTTTTTGAAAAGAAAAATTTTCTGATTTCAGTCTTGCAAGATATCTTATAATCAATATTTAGTAACTCAGCTGCATGTATTTCGCAGGCGTTTGAAAATTACTGTGGGTCTGAAAGTTTGCTAGAACATTGAGAAAGGTCATAGCATTTAAGTTATTCGATACAGACGAAATTTTTTGCGTTCAAAAAACAGTTTTTCTATTTGGAGCTCTCAAGTGGTGCTCATGGAGTGGGATATTTCCGAAATCACTGGGTATAAATTTTGGTGGCAGGGCAATCTACCCTATTCCAAACTACCCTATACCATTCCACCCTATGCCATTATACCCTACATACCAATCTACCCTATACCAATCTACCCTATACTAATGTAACCTATACTAATCTGCCCTATATACCAGTTTAACCTGTGTCGATTTGGCGCGTAATTAATGTAATCTTTCAAAGTCCTAATTAGAATCGGAAAGATAACAGCACGTGCTAATTGATTTGAGTCCAAATTTTTGGACTCAATTTGAGTCTTTCACTCAAGGATATTGTTCTAAGGACTAAATCGCAATTTAAGACTCAAAATCTGAATTTTGTCTCAATTAACAGGTTGTCTCAATTAACTACATCATTATATCAATTTTCCTTGGAATAACATTTACTAAAATGAGTCAAATTTCTTGGGGTCTATCTCAACAGAATCGGAGAACGCTTGTAATCGGTGGCCAGGAGTTTACGAAAAACAGTAAACAAAGAATGGAAACATTCACTGGAAGTGTTCAAGATGGGGTCCCATAAATGCAAAACGACAGCAATTACCCGAGCGCACCTACATCTAAGTTTCAATTGCTTTAATTATAGGTTAGAATGGTATGGGGTAGATTTGTATAGGGTAGATTGGTATGTAGGATAGAATAGTATAGGGTAAATTAGCACAGGGTAGATTGAAATAGGGTAGAATGTCATGGAACCATAAGTTTTATGGTATAAGAATTCCGTTAAGGTCCATTCAGACCCCCATATTTGGAGGGGTCCATTTTCTAAGGCGTGGTTTCTATGAAGTCGATTCGCGTTATGGGGGTCCTGACAACTAAATAGTGCAGAGTAACATAAACTTTGTAAACAGTTTCGATATAAAAATACGAATAAGTAATTACCCAAAGCGAGGGCATTGTAATCGGGAGCTAAATTTTTTTCCCGTAAACAACTTTGTTCTCAAGACACATTGGACTCTTGTTGGTGCCTGGTAGTAACGAATACGCCTGGGACGGCAAAGGTCCTGGATTCGAATCTGACCTGGACCAGTGGTTTTTTTTCAAACGGTAAATGTTTCGGTACAAAGAAATTTCGGCTTATTATTTGTCTGCTTATGTTTTGTCGTCTTAGTTGACACATCTAAGAATCGTTTGTTTTAACTACAAGCAATTTTCACTGCAGTTGTCAAAAGTATTTTATAAATCCGGCCGAATCGAAATTTGCTTTTCACGGTTGTAATTTTACCAGCTCGATTTGTTAAATTTTTATTTAAAAAAAAGTTCGTCATCTTTATCGGTCTAATTAATATTGAATTAGTGGCCTCTTATTGCATCGTTACGTCCGAAAAAACTTCTTGTACGCGTGCGTGTGCTCTGAGAGGAAAAGCGACTTAACATTTTTTATAGGTTAAGAATTTTTTAAAACTTTTTCGGCATGAAGGGTTTCTGCTCAGGTTTTTTCGGCTTTGTTACCGCTTGGTAATTATAAATTCAAATCCAATCAACCATGCAGCGTAGAAGTAAAATGACTGCTTGCGACGGCAAAGATTTGCAGTTCGAATCCGGCCGGGCAGGGGCGGATCTAGGATTTTCTCGAGGGGGGAGCGGATTTTCAAAAAATTTTCGAAAATTTTGACGGCCTTTTTTTTTTAGGTCGACCAAATTGATTTTTCGAGCTCTCCCAAAGCATTGTTTTGCCCCTATTTTGGCAAAATTTTCAGCTCCGCAGGCAAATTTTTGAAAAACAGTCAAAAAAGCCGTTTTTGGGCACTTTTTGAAAAATTTTGAAAAAAAAATCGCGGTTTTTTGGCGCGCGCTCCCCCTTAAAAATAGTTAATATTGGCGCCTAAGGCGCCCTTGGAAAAATTTTAGGGTCGGTAGGCCAAAAATGGATTTCTTAAAAAGTACCAAAGGGGGGACCTTTTGGGTCGGCAGGGGGTCGAATCCCTGAGGAAACAGGGCGTCCGCCCCCCCCCCCCCCCCCCCACCCCCTAAATCCGCCTCTGCGGTCGGGGACTTTTTTGCAAACTAGAATTTTGTGCTTTTTCGGATTCGTCCGTCTGTTTAGTTTCCGTAGCTTGTTGTTTCAGCTTTATTCCAGCTTGCTGTAATTCCCATACTTGAGACGACAAAGCTCGGTAGTTCAATTCCAGTTGAAACCTGTTTTTTTTTGCAAATAGAAAGTTTTGGCTAATTTAGATTATTGTGTCTCTGCTTATTTTTGTCTGCTTAGTTCCGCAGAGAGGACTTCTTTGAAAACTTGGCTTCTGTATAGCATTCCCAATGCTCTTTGTAGAGTTTTTATTGGTGCAGGAAAGTTTGTTTCGGATGTTTTGGGCTTATGGTGCAATGTTTATTGACGAAAACGATTTTTTGAATTTTTTCTGTTTGATTTTCATAGTCATTCATAAATGTATTGCAAGTGGTGCGAAGCTCAGCTTCGTCTCTGTGTGTCAAATTTTCACTGGATGTAAATTGTTAAAGCTCAATTTCTTTGTTTTAAAAAGAGGCCCTAATTGAGTGTAGCTGGTTTAGATGTTTGTGTTCCCTAGCGTTTAAGTGTAAAAGAACGAAGTGATTTTCATTTATATAGGTCGCAATTATTTTTTTCAAGTTGATTTTTAGCGGACCGATTTTTGGTTTCCGGTTAAGTTCACTTCATTTCCTTTGTTAAAAGGAAGACAAACGCCACAATAGAACAGCAAGTGTGAATTTTAAAAATGGGCTGTAGTTTTCTGAAATCCTACGGGAATATATATTAATAACATATTAATCCGGTTTTCTCTAAATGGGCTGCCTTTACGAAGAAAGTACTAATCATAAACAGTATATGTAATTCAAAGAGCTTCAACGTGATATATTTTTCTCGAATCAGTTTTCAATCAACGTTTTTTCGGTTTCCTTTTTCTTCTACACTTTTCCAACTGTCTGTTGGCTATGTTTAACTCCATAGCCCAGGTAGTTCAAAGCTCAGCTTGGACTTTTTTGCAGATAATCTGTAGCTGAAATTAATGTCGATGATCGATGAATATATTTTTTAATGAAAAAAATATCGTCGGTATTATTTATATTTAGACAAAGCATATCTGCTACTTGTACCACGCCTCCAAACTGACCAGACGCAGACAGAAAAGCAGGTTCTCCTACTCAGACAATGCGTCGCCAGAGGACGATGATAACCTCTCTTCTCTGGCAACTAGGACTCTGCTGTTGGAACTTCTCGACAACGAGGTCGTCACATTGAATGTGTCTGTGGATGTTCAGAGAGTGACTGGGTTTCTGATGAAGGTGTCAGACTCTCTCGAAGACGACAACCAGTTGAACAGGTTTGCATTAATTACAAAAACAAAATTGGGCTCAAAAAAAGATGAAGCCAAAACTTGTTTAGAGAGTTTCAGTAGAATTATTTTGCAGTTTTTTTTGCAAACTTCGGGCCCAAAATTTTGCCATTTAAAGTCATTTTTGGCTTTGAGTAGTCAATCAAAAGTTACGCCAAAACTGACGGGTCAGTTGCTGGCAACACTATCTCAAAAGGAGCCTCCAAAAATTTGTTATCTTTTTAGTAAAATTACCATTTTTGGCGATCACACGAATATAAATTTTGTAATACAAAACTTAGATTATATCCTTCCTGAACATTATTGGGCTATATAAGAGGCTTCTTTGATATAGTTTTCTGTCAATTTGTGAAAAATTGACTGAGTAGCTTGAGCGCTATAATTGATCGACCACAAAAAGTCAAAATGGCCTGTTTTGGGGTGCCCCTCCCTTTGATAGAGTACTAAGCTACTCCAATCGACAGGTATTTAGCCTACAGACCTTTGAGGAGTTGGCATAAAAGAAAGTTAGACCCCCGATTAGGGGCGATCTCGGGTGGAAGTATATCGGGCTTGAGAGCTTCCAGTCTCTCTTTCACGTACAGGCTGCTGACGGCTGTACGACCAGGCTTGTTTCTGTAGACAGTGATTCTGTACACTCTTCAACACCGTGTACTTCCTCGAGCGTTTGGACACTGATAGATGCCCGGCGCACTTGCAGGTACTATCTGATCTCTTGATCTCGTTCGGTTTCTCTTTCTCCTTGATCTCATTTGGTTTCTCTTTCTTGATCTGGTCAGTCTTGATCGATTCGGTGAGTCTGACCTTCAATTAGATCCCCACCGTCATCTTTTTAACAACATCAGTGCTTGTGGTTAAGGTGCACTGCGGATGAGCCCGGGAAACATGACTCTTCAACCATCCAAGTGTCTGTACTGCTTCTTACGCCCTGCAGCTGGACATCTTTCGGGGTTATTGCGGTGAAGGGGGTCATCTGGAGATTGTCTTTTTCTTCCAGTGCATCATGGTCCCTTCTCAGATGCCTTGGCATTTCTTTTCTCTCAGCAAAATTTCATGAGCAACTCCCCGCTTCACAGGGTACAGTTTGAGGGCGTGAGCCGACCATCCTTTGGTCGACCTCGTTGTTATACTTCAGTGGTTTCGGATTTTTCATCCACTCGTCTTTCCTGATAATCCAAAGCCTTTCTAGGTCTAAGTCGAAGGATAGCAGCCAATCCTTCGCGTACACCTTGCTTTTCACAGCTTGAGAGTTGACAGCATCTACTTTGAGCTTCACAATTGAGGCCCAAAGATTTGCCCATTGTACCGCTAACTCAACTTCTATACTCTTTAAAACGGTACTTTTTCTGCATTTTCGACGTTTGTGCAGGTTCTCTTGCTGTCCAGCTTCAGGATCATTCTTCTGGTTTTGTTGAGCACAGCGTTTAATTTTTCAAAATCGACTTTTCTAATTACAGCTGTCTCAAGACCATACAGTAGAGTGGGTTTGATAAAGGTCTCTACTAACTTTACTTTCGTTCTTATTCTCGATGAGCCACTTGTTAGTGCTGGTCTCATTTATACTAGTGCGGTCCGTGCTTTTGTGCAGTTGTTGGAAACTGCTTTACTGATCTCTCCTTCAACATTTAAAGCGCTTCCTAGCTAGATAAAAGATCTCACCTCTTTTATCTTAGCACCATTAAGGATGATATCACTCGGGCCATCACTATTGACCACAATTACTTCAGTCTTCGTGAGTGATATCTCCATCCCTGCTCTTTGGACTTCCCGATTAAAACCATCCGGTCTTTCTTGGGCCTCTACGGCTGATTCGGAGATCAAAACTACATCGTCCGCGTATGCAAGGTGATTCAAATCCGAACTCTACTTGAGCGTTTTCTTGCACAAGTCATCAAACACCTAATTGAAGAGTGTGGGGCCCACTACGCACCCTTGTCGCACTCCTCTTCCTAAGACAAACTTATTCTGTTTGTCAATCTCCCTTTCTGCCTCATCATGAAGATCCCAAATTTATCTTTTGAGGGGATTTCCAACACGCAGATTTTTAAGGACATTGAACAGTGCTGTCCTGTCCACTGAATTAAAAGCTTTATCCAAATCAATGAAGATAAGTATTAGCGAGTCACGCGCTCTTCGAGTAACGTGCTCTTTTAATTCTTCTTACGGTCCATATCGCTTCGAACGTGCTCCTGCCAGCTCTAAAACCGAATTGCAGGTCATCAAGTGTTCGATCCGTGCTTCTTTCGAGTGGATTTTTCAGTATTTTGCGAAGTACTTTTCCTTCAATGTCTAGTAGAAAAATTGATCCGTAGTTAGAGGGTGAAGTCTTTTCGCCATTCTTGAACAGACTCATAACCATTGTGTCCTTAAACGCTTTCGGGGTATCTGATGCTCCTTCCCAAAAGTTATTGAAGCTTGCATTGATTACAGGAACCACTTGATCTTGCAGTGACTTCAGTAGATCTGCTGTGATTCCACTTTGCCCCGGCATTTTGCCCGACGACATTGATTTAATCGCAAGTTTCGTTTCTGCTCGTGTAGGAGGATTGAGCGTCTCGTTTGATGTCTTCCCTAGTATCTGACCTTTGAGGTTGACATCAATGACTTTTCTCTCTTTGAAGAATTCTTGATAATGCATGTTGCTTGGCCCGATTGATTTCCTGGCTCTGTCAAGCCAGGTGATGCGCTCAGTTCTGAGTGTCACTTTCAGCTTTCGGTTCGCCTCTCTCACAGATTTTTCAGTCAACATATCTTCAAAACGATGACGATCCACCTCAACCGCCCGGTCCTTGCACTCTTTCGTAATGAGTTTTACCTCCCGATTGAGCGCCATGAGCCTACTTTTCAGGTCCGGGTTCCTCTTTACTTGAAACTTACGGTAGATCTTCTTTCTTTCGGAGATATTTTCTTTCTTCGCACTCGTTAGGTGAGCAGCCCAACATCCTGATTTAAGCGGAAAGCTTTGCTCGATCGACTGTTCTTTGATCAGCCGTTGCAGATGATTGGAGGTCTTCTGGTTTTGCTAGTGAAGATAACTCTTCACTCAATCTCTCCCTGAGATTTGCCAGTTCTCTCGCACTATCAAGAATCCTCTCAATTTTCCTTCTGATTGATTCGGTTTTCGCCTTTGCTTTTCTAACTTTTGCCCTTTCGCTCATTACAGATGCCCTTCCGACCACTATCAGCATAGCTCGGTCTGAGTGATAGCTGTCGCCCCAGGAGTTTCTGGTTTCATCGATCGACAGGGATGTCTTTCCCCTGCCTGCGCTAATGATGGAGTAGTCTTTCATTGACAGTTCTCTAGTTCGTAGATGCCTCCACGTACAAGCTCTTCAGGCTGGTTTTCGGAAAAAGGTGTTTTCAATTCTCAAAAGTTTTTCTAGGCACCATTCGCTCAGCAGCATTCCATTCCGACTAGCTTCATCACCAGTGGTGTGAAATCCAACGATTTTTGGCATGAGTGCGCTAGTCTCCCTGCCTATAGCTGCATCAAAGTCATCAAGCATAATAAGCGAGAAGTCGTTTTTGAGATCGACCTTTTCTGACAGAGTTAAAGAAAGCTCTTCTAAGTACTCGGCGTACACGTTCTCATCCGCATTTTCGATTGGTGCATAAGTCGAAAATATTTTCAACTTTGCACCGCAGATTTCGAACCATCCCACACAGTTTCTTGGAGAATACGCTTTAAACTTGAAACATCTGACATATGAGTCATATAATAATCCTACGCCTTTCTCAGTCCTTTTCGCGTTTTGATACACTCCGCTATGAGCGAGTGTGAAACTTTCGCAACACTCCCTCGTATCAGATCTTCGGAGTTGCTTCTCATCTAAAGCGATTAGGCTGATTTTCCTTCTAAACATGGTTTCAGTCAGGGTATCAAGAAACTCCTCCCGACATGCGCTGCGGCAATTCCAGTACGCAATCTTAAATTTACAGTCCTGTACAGTGGGCCCTGCTATTCCACGAAATTGTCTCCGGGCAAAGGAACTGGTTAAGGTCCCCCGGTTATACATTGCGTCTCCGGACATCCTTTCACGATCAGTTCTTTTCTGGTTTCTAACTTTATTTTTGCTAATCGGGTAATTTACTTTTTGACCCTGTGGTAGTCGCCCTTCCTGTTCCGCAGGAACACTCCCCATTACCATTTCTGGCACGCCGGGCTTATGACCGGTTTCTAGCTGGGTTGTTTTTGGGGTAACATTTTGCTCCCAAGGTTTTCAAAATACACTCCCCTGTTAAATAGTGGCGCCGCTGCTTAGGAAAGGAACGCACATTAGTTTGGCTATTTTTCTGGGCTGGTTAATGTTGCCTTACCCTAAAGCAACGAGCACGAATCATGGTGGGCCTCGATCATCCGACCTTTTAATTAAGAGGCGGAGATGTAACCTTTTCACCACCGTCGTCATCCTTTTTTCCAAAGTCAGACCAATTTGAGAAAACTGCGTTTGAAATTTCAAGGTCTACTCGTTTTTTTTTTGGGATAATTCAAATCAGAACGGTAGTGTAGCCTTGGCATCGGTCGTTTGTGTTAGAATTTTTTAAACATGGTAGAAGTTTTAATTCAAGATAATCTCCACTTGTTTTTTGTGATGAATTCGGGTTGCCTGGTTTTGACTAGAAGAATAGACGAGCTGAAAGTGGATTCGCTGGAGGATGCATTCGCTGCAATCAAGAAGGTCTGGTCCACTGTGTTCAGAGGCTATCAAGCGGAGGGAGGCAGCGGTGGGATCTCCTGGCACCTTATTTGTACATTCCTCTACTGCTCCTACAGGATTGTTTGCAAGGTAAAATTATCATCACTAGCCATGTCTGGAGGAGGAGGGGTGTTTGCATTGGTGAGGTATTGTGTTATAATAGTAGAAGTAACATTAAAAGACTTAAATGTGCTTCAAAAGGGATTTATTCGTACTTCAACCATATCGAGATTACAACATATGCTCAACATAGTTTTCTGACACGGTGCACATCAGCAGTGCCATGTAGTTTATAGTGTTGGTAAAAAGTGAATTTCTGACGTAGAATTCATCCGTCCGCTTTTGAATGCTTGTCTTAGGCTTAATTAGATTGTGTCGTCCCTTTTATACAAGCTCAATCATTTTTTGTGAACCGTCTTCAATTTTGAGTTATTAAGAGTCGATGAACGTAGTTTGGACTCTTATATAGGTCTCGATGATTTTTTTTTTCGTTTTTTTTTCAGCCAGGTTTTAAATGGCTCTGGTAACAAAAATGCTTTTAATTAAGCTTATGAATGCCCTTAGGTATTTATGAATTTTGAGTTCAACTCAAGTTCCATTTGCTAGAAAGTAGGCAAAGTGCCCTCTCCAATTATGAAAGCTGAATGGAGCGAAAACACTTAATCGATTTCTAATTTCGTAAATGGAATAAAAGTTTTTCCTAGCCATAAAATTTTTATCAAATTGGCTGAATTTATTTTAAAAGTGCCATTTTTAAATTGCTCTTGAAATTGAAAGAGGTTTGAGGCCATATATTTTTTGTTTGAATTTCGAAGGTTGAGTTGTTTTTCTAAACAAGTCAATTTTTTTCCTTGCGTTCCTTGACTCTTTTTCAACTGTCTGTTGGCTATATTTCAAATTGAGGTTGAATTGATCGACTAGGGCTTTTTTGCGATAAATTTCGTCGAATGTTAGTTAGTATTTATCCCTAAAACTATTCAAATGTTTAATTTTTTTAAATTCAAGAGCTGGAAAAGTTGATAGCTCAAAATAGGTTTGCTTGACAACAGTTTCGTTTTCGGCACAACTGGTGGCGTCTATCCGAGTATTATCGGCTCATTTGTTGCTCGGTAGATGATTTTAAATGCGGAGTTCACGGCGATGGTTGTTTCATGTTTTCCTCAAAGTGATTATCATTCGATATAAACCTAGAAAGTTTTTCGATTTAGTGGCTTCCATGTCATTTGATATGTTTGTTTAGTATCGTAAGTGTTCATAATCGCTTGTTCTGGTGTGATTTTTAACTGCAGCTAAAGTCAAATCTCAAAATTAGGAGACGAGCTAAAAAATTTAGTCAGGTTGACTACGTTTTTGATTTTGTAATATGCAAATATGTTAAGTCGTTTTGCTAACTAACCGAGTTTGATTTTAAGCTCGCATTTGCTGCAAAATAAACAGCTTTTTTCGCGGTTATTTTGCTATGGTCGTACTTTCGATATAGATTTTTGTGTGCGGTCGAATCTCTATAGTTTTGAATTTTCATAATTTAGTGTAAAAGAACGAAGTGATTTTCAGTTATATAGGTTTTGATGATTTATTTCCCGTAAATAGTGTTAAAATTTGTTAACTATCAAATTTGATTTTTCGAGTGTTGAGATTTGATTTCATTTCAAGTTCACTTGGTTTCCTTTGTTAAATCAGGGTAATTCCTATCGAACAGCAAAAGGGCGAGGTCACTAAAAATTTGGATGTCTTCTAGTCTCAAAAATGGACTTGAATTTTGAATTTTTTTTCGAAAGTTTTCAACATTTTTTTGTTCGGTTTTGTTGTTCTCTTACATTTTTCCAATTGTCAGATGGGCTGTTTTTCTAATATAAAACCTCTTTTGAGTTATCTGAACAAGCGGTTTTTGCAATTTTTTGTTTTAACAAGCGGTTTTTGTGCAATTCGTGTGTAATTTGCTACTTTACTTGGCTTACTTTACTCTGTGGGTATTTCGTTTGCTTAACATGCGAGTGTGTGCTGTCTATGTTCATAGCCCTTTGTTTGCCATGTGAACGCGCAATCAATTTGATTGCTTTTTTGGGCCTTAATTTTCACTAGCCTTTTTGAAGGAAATTTTTTTATTTCAGCTAAAAAAAATTTTGTCCTGATTTCATTTTTAGTATTTCTAAATTGAAGTATTTCAAAGTTTCATAGCTGGAACAGCTTGCTTAGGAAAACTTTGATTTTTCGCGGACATTTTTGCGCTAAGAATTTCTTCGTCCGTATCGCTGCATAACATAACTTGAAAAATTTCAAAATTTGATAGCTGGAACAGCTTGCTTAGAAAACTTCATTTTTTCGCAAACCGTTTCGTTCTATGAAATTTCTCAAACCGATTTACGATATGATATGGCTTACTTGAAATTGCTCGAAGGTTCAATGCTTGAATAGCTTGATCAGAACGACCTGTTTTCGCGAAGCGTTTTTATATTGGATACGGGCTGGCTATTATATAAGATATCAGGCAACCTAGATCAGCGGCCGAGACTTTACCAGTTATAAGCATGAATTTATGAAATATCTGTGGATGAAGCTTTTCATTTTTATATGAGTGTCGATTAGTCTTCATTCAAAATTGAGTTGAGTTGAGTTTTCGGCTCTTCTTGATTTTTTTCGTAGTATGTTGGTTCTTTAATTATTCGAGGGTGGAGAATAATAAGTGGCTTGATCTGATTCCGATTTGGTCAATGGCGGAAGTGGTTGCTCTTGAATGGGCAGAGGCTGTCCAAAAGTGGTGGATCTCCGATTGAGAGCCGAGGGAATCCCCTGTTGGAAGTATCGGTTGGGTGCCATGTTGGCGCTTCCACTGATGGATTCTAGAAATCCTGTTCTGTGCACCACTCTGCTGCTTCGGTCACAGTTCATGTTGAAAGGCGCTGGATGTTCCAGGGCTATTTCCTCCACTGTCTAAACATCATATAGTATTATAACCTGTATTATTTCTTCGTCGGAGGGAGTTTAAGAATTGCTACTTCTGTTTTGCAATTGCTGAGAAATTGAACTCAACATTTGAATTTATCGAAGAAGAAAATTTGAGCGTGTTTTTGTCGGTTTGATGTTTGTATCTGAAGCAAAAATACCGTAAGTGGAGTTGAGTTATCATCCAGTGTTATGTGTGCAATGCGCATGAACTCAGCTATATTTCCCCGTGGAATAAGATGGCTCAGCATGAGAATCTTCAGCTGTCTGTGATCAGTTCTTTTCCAGTTAATCAAACATTTTGAAATGGCGAAATAGATAAGTGTGAAACTCATTTTACGGCGACATGTTTTGCGAGAAAATTGGGAAATTGAAAGAGGCGTGCTCTTTTCCACAATGCTAGTGGAAATTTTTGATATAATGCTTTTCATTTTGATTTAATTCTTTTCTAACTCAGGCTTAAGTGATTGGTGTGAAGCTTTTGTTAAAAATTTTTAATGAAAGCTAATAAAGTACCTTCCTTTTGTGATTTACGATAAATTGTTCAAGCGGTCCAAATTTATAAGTGTTTTTGAAAAAGTGAAGTTTCGCTTATTTAGGCCGTGTGGCTTTGTTCATAATCTTTTAAGAAAAAGTTTTGGAAGATTTTCGTTCTCAAATTATTCGGGGTTTGACATTTGATTTCGTTTTGAAATGCTTTTCAAATGTAATGCTAAATCGAAGGCATATTAATTTTTGTTTTTCCAGCGGAATTACAAAAATTATATTTTGACCGAATTTTCCCAAATTGGATTTATTTTGTCAAAATAGGCACAAAAAATTGAAACAGTTTTTAGATGATATGTTTATTGTTCTGTAAAACTCAGTTGTGGAAAAAAAATCAGAAAAAAATCGTTTTTTTTGTGTGCTCACAACTGTCTGTTGGCTATTATGTTATAACCGATATCACGCTTCTACAATGTTAGTCCTCATTGGTTCGTGTTAGCTCGTTGTTAAAGTTGGTTTTTGTATGAGGTGGTTTTCTACTTTTTAAACTGGAAACAACTCAATAACGTACGTTTTATATCACTACGATTGAATATCTTTGTAACTTAAAACCCCAAGAGTAGACTAGACTAGAGATTAACACCGTTTTAATCCAAAAGAACAAAAAGAACTCAAACGTGGCTTCCGTAATATTCAAGAACGAGGGGAGCTTCTCCATGTAATTATAACTGTTTTGAAAAAAGGGCGCAATTTCCTAGATATTTTGAATCGGTACAAATTATGAAAAGGTGATATAATGCCATGATTATAGAAGCGAGGTAAGTACAACCGGTAAAATATAATTGGAAAAGTTTTAAAGTTTTCGGTGGTCAACGAGAGCAAGGAATTTTCAAAACCTTCATTGTGGGCCTGCGTTTCATAGGTAATTGTTGTTGATTCACTTTTCCACTTTAATACCGGATGAAGTTTCCAAATTTGTCAAAAAGTTGACATTTCGGGAAACAGGCATTGGTGACTTATTTGTTTAGCAGCTTATTTTGTTCTTGCAGCTTTTCGGATCTATTTTTCCAAAGAACAATATTATTGGATATCTTTTTTTTTACAGAAAACGGCGCAACTGACGTTCTTCCATAGCAGCAGTTATAGCCATTGAAATTTTGTGATTATAATTATCAGGAAAACAAATATTTGTAAAATATGGTTCTTCACTTAGAATTCGGGGGCCGAAGCTTTAACATTTTTTTAATTAGATGAAACTGTAAAATAGAAAGAAGGCTCAATTATAGCTGGTTTTTGGGGAGTGCGTAGTTCGAATGCTGCATCAAGTGATTCTGTCAGAGTATTGAGAATTATCATAATAAATTGATACGAATTAGGAGAGTTAACAAGTGTTAGTTTTCAGGATATCGAAAAGAATTTCCCAACTTACAACAAGGATAGCTCAGTCCTTTTCGCGTTTTGATACACTCCGCTATGAGCGAGTGTGAAACTTTCGCAACACTCCCTCGTATCAGATCTTCGGAGTTGCTTCTCATCTAAAGCGATTAGGCTGATTTTCCTTCTAAACATGGTTTCAGTCAGGGTATCAAGAAACTCCTCCCGACATGCGCTGCGGCAATTCCAGTACGCAATCTTAAATTTACAGTCCTGTACAGTGGGCCCTGCTATTCCACGAAATTGTCTCCGGGCAAAGGAACTGGTTAAGGTCCCCCGGTTATACATTGCGTCTCCGGACATCCTTTCACGATCAGTTCTTTTCTGGTTTCTAACTTTATTTTTGCTAATCGGGTAATTTACTTTTTGACCCTGTGGTAGTCGCCCTTCCTGTTCCGCAGGAACACTCCCCATTACCATTTCTGGCACGCCGGGCTTATGACCGGTTTCTAGCTGGGTTGTTTTTGGGGTAACATTTTGCTCCCAAGGTTTTCAAAATACACTCCCCTGTTAAATAGTGGCGCCGCTGCTTAGGAAAGGAACGCACATTAGTTTGGCTATTTTTCTGGGCTGGTTAATGTTGCCTTACCCTAAAGCAACGAGCACGAATCATGGTGGGCCTCGATCATCCGACCTTTTAATTAAGAGGCGGAGATGTAACCTTTTCACCACCGTCGTCATCCTTTTTTCCAAAGTCAGACCAATTTGAGAAAACTGCGTTTGAAATTTCAAGGTCTACTCGTTTTTTTTTGGGATAATTCAAATCAGAACGGTAGTGTAGCCTTGGCATCGGTCGTTTG